TCAACCTTTATAAATAACAATAAAATCATTAAGGGTTCTCAAGAACTAGGATTCACTTTCATCCGCCTACTCACTGTTGCATACAAAAATATATAAAAAATAATCAGAATTAGACAGTCGGTGTGATTCGACTGAAACCGTCGCGGAGAATCACGTTATAGATATGAGAATGAGGGAAACGGGCCGGCACATTTACACTAAACTTTTCCGTCATGTTGCGGGCCGAAAAATATCGTCTTGCGGGTCACAAATGGCTTGCGGGCCGCGAATTTGAGACCCCTATTTTAGATGTTTATTTATTAATATTCACGATTATCTCATTTTTTATAAAAAGAATGTAAATATTTATACTTTCCCTCATCATTTTCGATGTATGCAAATGTATGCGAGATCGAATTTCAAAATAACTTAATATTACATTTTCGGCTTCGGCTTCGGTTTCGGCCGAAATTCATTTTTAATATTCGGCCTTTTTTCGGTTTCGGCCGAAAGACATTTTTAAACCTTCGGCCTTTTTTCGGTTTCGGCCGAAAGTCATTTTAAACTTTCGGCCTATTTTCGGCTTCGGCCGAAATCAGAAAATCACTTTCGGTCGGTCTCTAGTGAAGGGGCGGTGCTAGTGGCGAATCGGCGAATATAGTTATTTTTTTAGTATTTCTTATTTTTAATATATTTTGATTCAGAAACCATTTCTGACATTTAAATAGAAGATAGAAGAAAATTTTGTAAAATATTATTTTGTTAACTCTAAAAAATGGGTAAAGTGTTATTTTTGAAAGTGTTTAATTTTTACCAATTCGATTCATGTACTGAGAATCACTCGACCACATCGAATTGGGTATGAATGGAAAGCTTTATTTCTCAGAATTTAGATAAATTTAGCTTCCTGTCACTTACGAAAGTTACCGAAGACTTCAATCATGGTCAAAACAGTGTTTCTCTGACCTAGTTATAGGGTCAGTCCATTTATGACGCATCAACCGTGAACTTTTAATAAAGCACGCATATGTATTAGTTAAGTGTGTGGAAAATTTACATGTGATCGGTTATCCTCTAATGAAATTCGATATTAGACCGAGCACTTTTTTGTTCTCTGTAAATATGCAATTTTTCAATTTGATGTCACCCCTGAGACTCGCTGCGATCCGCACACCCACCCCTGCATCCTCCTAGCGACCCCACTGTTTCAATATATAATACTATAGATGTCTTCAAAAAACGTGTCTTTATTTAAATTTAAATAAATTATAAATAACCACTAAAAATCAGGCCTGTATAACATACGGACTGCAGGCCGCATACGGCCCGCCAGAATTCACTTTGCGGCCCGCGAAATAACGAAATATTATTCATTCTTATTATTTTCTTAATAGCTTTTCCCCCTGTCCTATTTCTATTTGTCCGCACAAGGCTTTCATAAAATATTACGGCTCGCCTGACATTTTGAGTTGTGCAGACCTGCTATAAATGGGAAAAAATTCATTTTGAATGTTTTTTTTTATTTTTTACCGATTCTTATACTTAAAATCGCCCGACCACACCGTAATTGGTATCAATGGAAAGCTCTATTTCTCAGAATTTAGATAAAAATAGCCTCCTGCCACTTACGGAAGTTACCGAACACTTTAATCGGAGTGGAACAATGACTGTGTTTTTCTGACCTAAACACAGGGTCATCTTATTTCTGACGCACCAACCTTGAACTTTTAATAAAGCACGCATTTGCATTGGTTACATTTATGAACGATTTTTATGTGTGATGGGTTATCCTTTTATGAATCTCAACTAGACCGAGCACTTTGTGCTCAGTGTGCTCTGTAAATATGCAATTTTTCAATCGGGTGTCACCCCTAAAATGGTGTCACCCGGTGCGGTCCGCACTCCCCGCACTACGCCACTGAATGAGACAAGTGTTAAAATGAATCCCATTCGACAACTATTCACAGCACATAAATTATGGTTCATAAAAATTATGGTACATTTGAGCACTTGACATAAGCTGTTTACTTATGTAACACAAACTCAGAATAAAATAACGGCAACAATAACTCATATTGCCATCATAGGAAAAATTAGTGGTCAGTTATGAGTGATGAGAACACTCCAGGCACAGCAAAAGCGAGGTATGAGTGCGTTTATGAGCATATCTTTTGTGCTGCACAGTGGAGACTGGTTTGAGTGCACAAGTATTCGCAACTAGATTTTAAAAAAAAATTCTAGTTTAAAATCTTTGCCATTATTTTGTGGTCATTTCTATACATGGGAACAACACTGATATAATGTTAGACAGTAGAAACTTGATCATGCTGAGAATAATTTATCTTGTTACTTGGGGGATCTCTTTAGTGAAACAGAAAAGCACAAAGTGAATCCACTAGGGACGGAAGCGTCATCACAAGGTAGTTGTGAATCGGAACAATGACAAGCATGTTGTTAAAACCAAAAAACAAAACTTAATGTTCAGGTTTTTTCATAATTATGTTCTTTAAAAAAAAAAAAAAGAAGACTTTAAAAAAAAAAAAATACCCTCTTCAAAAATATTCATTTTATCAATGTTCAGGTTTTTTCATAATTATGTTCTTTAAAAAAAAAAAAAAGAAGACTTTAAAAAAAAAAAAATACCCTCTTCAAAAATATTCATTTTATCACTATTTCATTAATGACCTGTATGTATTAATTTGTTATAGAGACAACACCTTGTCACTATTTGTCCAGGTAATCAAGTTTCTGCCATTCCCCTCTTTCTTAAATTCATTTAAACTAAAGTACGATAATTACATTTGATCAATAAAAATAAAACAAAGAGTTGTGAAAATATGTGGACGTATGAGCTTACATTCAGATTAGCCTTCAAGAGAAGTGTTCTTCAGTCCTGTCCAACGTTACTGAAAACACGGCATGGTGAACATGTCTGCGTATGGGTAAATGGAAACACACTCTCCCCGACAGTGGTAAATGGCAATGTGAAGGAGTGGACCATATAATCCAAATTTACGGAGACATGAAGGAATGCTTTAAAAAATCTGGTTGCGGCAATGAACATTTTTAGTCATCATCATCATATGCCAGGTTGGATCTCAGCCACTTTTCAGCTACACATTTGTCAACACCCTTTCTTCTGGCGTAGTCAACAATCTAAAAAAAATTTGTGAAATGGAGATTATGCATGATTTTTTGTTTTGACAATGAATTCAATGCAATTCTAAAGGTAAATACATGAGATGGATACTTGAAACTAAAATTACCATCAAAATCAACAAATTACTCTTGACAGTGACAATAAATGTAAACAATCCATGACAACCCCCCCACCCCCAGTTCAGACCATGACAACACCCCGCCCGAAAAATCTGACTGTGACAACCCCACCCCCTCAAGTTTTTTACTGTCACAACACTCCACCATTAAATTCTTATTTTGAACTGAAAAATTACAATTTAAAAATTCCCCACCGCAACCACGAAACCAAAAAAAAAAAAAACAAGCACGAACGAGTGTAACAAGATCGTCATACCTGATCTTTACAAAGTTTATCAGTAGCAAAGTAAGAGCTCTGAGGGTTGGCCAGGTAGATTCCAGACACTGATGAAGCTGGGTCCATGGCCAGGGAGTCTGTCAGTGTTATGCCCACCTCCTCTGGCCTCATGAGTTGCCACATTGTAGATTTTTCCGTGTGATCCGGCTGGCTGGGATAGCCCGCTGCCGGCCGGATGCCCTGTTACAACAGCCATAAAAATTCTCGTTACCATAGCTCATTTATTTACAATATCCTGGTAAACACGGAAAATCCGATTGATGTTAAACTAATGGCACTGTTTATTTGCCTTGCTAAAGGACAATGAATTTCATTCAGGGAATTCCTACCTGGTATTTGATACGATGAAGATCATCAGCCTCCAGACATTCCTCGTGGGAATACCCCCAGTACTCCTTGCGAACTTTCTCATGCAGGTATTCAGCAAATGCCTCAGCTAGCCGATCTGCGATGGCCTTGACCATAATAATGTTGTAGTCATCAAAACATGCTTCATACCTGAGACGGACGTTAAAAAAGAAAACGTGCTGACAATGTAACAAGTATTAAACAGTAGTTCTCAACCTAGAATCCTGTGGAATAAATCACCAAAGGTAGTTGTGGACGTCATGAGATAAATTCTTTTCTTAACCTTTTATTCTTCATTGAAGTCTAAGCACAGTGACTTGTAACTTGTGCATTGGAGTCTAAACACAGTAACTTGTAACTTGTGCATTGGAGTCTAAGCAGTGACTTGTAACTTGTGCATTGGAGTCTAAACATTGTATATGGCTGCAGGGATTGACAAATTTTTGGTAATCAGGACCAACCGGTAATTTGGGATGGGAGCATCAGAGATGAGGTTTCTATAAAAACTTACTCTTTGCAGAATTCCTGAGTACCTATACCAGCAGTGCAGGCAAACAGGCCGATAAAGTCAGTGACACCACTTTCTCTTGATGCCAAAAAGTCAGACTGACACAGGTAGGGGGAGCTGTCTGCTGCGTCTTTCTGGGCCTGGCAGATTAGACAAATTGATCAGATTTAGTCTAAAACTTGATCAAATTTAGAAATTAACTGGATCAGATTTAGACAAAAACTTGATCAGATTTAAACAAAAACTTGATCATTAAACTTTGATGCTGAGAATGTAAATCATAAACTCATGTTTGGAATGATTAAATCAGCCAATGGCTTCAAAGCTTTACACATTGAATAAAATAAATTTGAGGAATGTCATTGTGTTTCCTGTAAATTTTTGGTATACAGGATTCAGACACACTTTAAGCACAAGTCTTTTTTTTCATGGATAAAAATATATATATTTTATATATAATATAATATATATATATATATATATATACTATATTACAATAAATAGATAATCATTTCATTTATATCAATTAACAAGGGGAAAAAAACCTCTTAGATGAGCCACTATGAGAACACAGGATTACAGAACAGTACAAAGATCTCACAAAAATATTTCTACATATCATCTATCCGTCAGGTACATCGTATTCCTTACTTGCTGTCTCAAGCCAAACAGAGTGGCAATCTTTTCCCCATGCTCATCGTACACCTCAATGTCATCCCCCACACTGTTGGCGGGGTAAAAGGCGATGGTGGCGGTAGCCCTCAGCTTCTTTTCTCTGATTGTTTTCCGTAGAATCTTTTGAGCATCTTCAAACAGACTTTTTGCCTGTTCCCCTGAAATTCATCGATTAAAAAGTATTACATTTACATCTGATTAAAAAGTTTTACTACATTTAGATCTCATGAAGAATCTTTACGTTTACAGCTGATTAACAAGTTTTAGATTTACAGCTGATCAAGAAGTATTACATTTACAGCTGCGAGGAATTTTAGTGATTCTAAAATACAAAAAATTATCTGAACACACATTTATAAAGTATTTATAAAGTAGCAGAGTTGCCTCCATCAGTGGTAGTTACTCTCATGGGGCAGCAAGTTGGGGACATAAGAAAATTTGAGAGCAGACTACGAAAATTTAAATCCAGGGCCACATCACTTTAGTAAGAGCAGACACATGCCTGAATAGGCGTTCATTAGCAGAGCCATATGTCCCCGCACAGGGCCACATCATGGTGCATCCATTTTTTGACTAATGATGTGTAATTGTGTCTCTGTGAATTTCAGGCGTAACAGAAAAAGTAAGCACTATCTCAATAAGCCTTTTCACATCCCAAACACGAGGAACTCTGGATCCAGACATTTCCCATGGCTCCAAATGCCTTTCTTCCACCCTACACAATCTCAGGAACACATCTATCAAAAAACATTTCACAACATCCTTCATAATTACAGACTTCCCACCACTTAGGACCACACAACATGGCATTACTACAACAAGGATCACTAAGGAATTGTAATAAAATGAGTAGTTTTGATCAACAAATTTTGTTTTGATGAGCTGAATCAATTATTGTTCCAATGAGTTCTATTTCAGCAGTTTGAAAAAATAAACTAAAGCACAAAATATAAGAGTAAGGTCCCTTTAAATAAAAAATGTGGTGGCTGGCCCTTTATAAAATGTTTAGGTTTAGGTAGCTGCCAGTGATCAATGCTAACATTTATGGTAGTTCATCCACAAAACCTTCAGTAGAATCAAGTTTATTAACCACTTTTGCACCATAAATTAAAGTTTTTTGAAAAACTTATTCGTACTGTCAAACAGAAATATAAAATGATAACACTGTGAAAGATTCTCACCAACTTCCTTGTCATTAAAGATCTTGGGGTAACCCCTGTTTGGATACTTTCCCCTGAGTTGCCAGACATTAAAAAATGGCCTCCAATCAATGTAATCAACAAGACACTGCAGGTCAAAGTCTTCAAATTTCTTTACTCCAATAAAGGACGGCCTCACTGAAAAATTGTACAGTTTAAAGAAGATTAGTTTCACTCTGTGAATAAGAGTTTTATTTATCTTTTTTTTTTTTTATCCACAAACTTTCTAGTTATTTAATAAAGCATTAAAATGCCACTAAATTCCAAGTAATAAACTAAGGTAGTGGTCCTTTTAACAAGCCAACATAAGATAAGATTCTTTTATTGATCCAAACAAATGGAAATGTTTTAAGATTGCATTGTACATTTTCAGCACATAAATAAAACAATTTTAACACAAGACATTTATAATAAACTATTTTATTATATAGTAAAAAAAACAACAAAAAACAGCCATTCAGTGATTTCTCTTAGCCATATCAGGGACTTATTAGTTCTCATTAAGATTTGTGACTTCAGGGGAAGCACGCTGGTAAATTCATACAGATTGGGGAACAAAAGAATTTTTATATCTTTCAGTCCTCGCCCTGATGGAAAGAATTCGTATTTATTTTTTTAATACATTCTGATTCTGATAGACTACGTTGCTGCAAACAAGTACTGGCATATGTGCAACAGCTTGGGAAACGATGCAGCCATCCTAACCGCTCCTAGCAACTCTGAAGAGTTCTATTTTAAGCCCAATTTCATTGTGGGTTGCAGAAAACAACTGGCACAATTAGCTGATAAATTGGTAGCCCTACAAAGTATTTAAGAAAGGAATTTTTAGCTGTAAAGTGAGATCACAGATTCTTAACTTTTCAAAACATTTTTTATTTTAAATTATTTATCCTAAGTTTTATTGAACTCATTCTCAGGATCTAAATGTTAGACTTCAGCTCTGCACCCCTTGTTACTAAAGTCTAATGAAATTCCAAATAAAAGAAGTGTCTGCTTGGTATGGCAAACCATGATAAAAGTGTGGTCTGTAAGGTATGGCAAACCATGATAAAAGATGGGTCTGTAATGTCTGGCAAACCTTGATAACAGATGGGTCTGTTAGGTTTGCAAACCATAACAGATGTCCCAGACATCCATTAAATACAAGATATTATACAGGGAAATGATTTAGCTTTAAAACAAAAGTATCTTTTAACCTGGATGTGGTGTTGTTGACCAATCAATGACCAATCTCTTCTCTCTTGCTTTTTCTATGGGGAGGTATTTCCTGTCCTGAAAAGTCAAGGTAAAAAAAGGGAAACCACTGGACCACCTGACATAGTCAATTCACATCTGGTTCATAGCAAACTAATTATAATAGTGTTATTAAAGCTTAACCAACATGGTTTTATTGACACAAACTGTTTGTGTCTCATTGATTGTCTTGTTCATAGTGACCTCGATGACAATTAAATATTATTCAGTGCTGAGCAGTGAACGCAGATTGAGAGAACTGAACGCAAATAACCAGGGAGAGTAGACACTCAACAATGAAAGCCAGCTTGCAATTTTTAACAGACAGACTGCATTAAAAGACAGACATTGCATTAAAAGACAGACTGCATTAAATCCGGTAAATCCGGACTAAATTGATTTGTTAACATTCTTTTCAAACAATACAGCAACTATCACATACTCAGCTGATCTGGTCAACAAGTCTTAAAAATACGATCTAGGTATTGGTCAAGGCTTTATAATGACTCGACCAAACAGAAATTGAGTCTTATATGGACAGAGGTTAATGTCTTTTAAGTTCCAGCCTTGCTGTAAATGATACCAGGCCAGATGTAACCAATGCCAGGTTAGATGTAACAGATACCAGGCCAGATGTAACCGATACCAGGTTAGATGTTACCGATACCAGGCTAGATGTAACCGATACTAGGCTAGATAACCCACATCAGCCTTCATCTCAGTCAGCCAAAATTTTATATAATCAAACCAACTGGCATAATTTTTAATTTCTGAGGTATATAAAGATTTTTTAAAACTCTGTGCCGTCAAACTATATTGAAATCAGGCATTTTCATCGGACATGAAAGGGGCTGGGACTAATCTTTTTTAATGTATTAAAAATGTATTTTTTAATATATTAAAAGAAATATGTGAGGCTTCTAGAAATTTTTTTTCATTATTGTGGATTCATAAAATAATAAAGAAATGAGTGAATTCATCCATTCTACCTTGAGTGAGTCATAATGCTCTTCTCTGATTTCCTCATAATCTTCTGCAAGATCTTCCAGAAACTCATCTCGTGTGTTTGCATCTCCCAAGGCTGAGACCTGAACAGGAATATTTTAGTTCTAGTTTTGAAAATGCAAGTGTTAATCATATTATAAGGTGTTAAGAATTTAATTTTCCTTTATCTGAGGGCTAAATGTTTTATTTTAAAATTCACTCAACAACTTTTAAAAAAAATTTATAATTTAATAAGGGTGAAAGAAATCATTAAGAACATATGTGGTGAGTTACACTGCATTATTTAACCATTATTTAGTTAGTGTAGTTATTTTTCTACATAAATGAATAGCTCTTTTTATTAACTGTTTCATATATTATTACAGCTTTGCTAGCATGCAGATGTTCAGTGTCGACAGCTAGATTAAACATATCTTACAAGCATTTTCTGAATACAGGAACACATTTTGTTAATTTGTGCTAAACCCTTTAGGAAAAAACAATATCGATGAAATGCGAATAGCTATTTTGGTTATCAATTTCTTGACATTAAAATTGCTGCCAAATGAACTTTGACCAATGCAAGTTGTTTGGAATTTGTTAATGTTTTTTAAATGCTGATTTCTAACTCTATTGATAAGATTTTCATCTGGTTCCAAGCCACTGATTAAACTTGAAAACATCAAACAGACTTTTTTAACATCGATTGTAATGAAAGAATACTTTGAGCAAGGATAAGGTTTCAGTTTACTCCACATTTATACATACCACTATAACAGCTTTATACATACCACTACAACAGCTTTTTACATACCAGTACAACAGCTTTATACATACCACCACAACAGCTTTATACATACCACTACAACAGCTTTAGAGGCATCCAACACATGAACGACTGGGCTCGACTTGCGGGGGGCAATCTTCACCGCCGTGTGTTGTCTGTAAATGACAGAGTTACAGAACATAACTTATCGAATACATTGTGTGATTGTTAACAAGAGGTGGTCAATTCTAAACAATGTGTTGACAGGGCCTCAAAAAATTTAGCAGGTAAAAAAATTATTTAAAAGATTCTGCCACAGTCCCTGAACACTCACACACATTAATGAGTTGTACAATAGAAATCCTAGTATTAGTCATATCAGGTGTGGTTTCAGTTGGGGGAAATTATTTGCTGGCAGGTCTTCGTTATTATAGATTGGTTATAACTATGAGACTAAACATGGACATCAAAATTCAAAGACTGTTTTGATGAATTAAATTAATGTTTTATAATGTAAGAAACAATGAATTCGGGTCACTGATGTAAGTTGGCAAAGGTATCTTTCAATCATGTCACATGATTTCTAATTATTTGATAAATATCTATTATAATTAATCGACATCCTTCCGTCTCGTGAGACGATGGTGCATCACCGTTGGGTTGGGTTGCATTTTCTCGAGTGGCTGTGCAGTCCTATCCTTGCCTTGAGTATCTATTATAATACATTTAATACATTTCACCAGACTAAGGTAGATCTTCCTTTACCTCCCAAATTATTAGGGTTTTGTGATAGAGTATTGTCTGTATTTTTAAATATGTAGGCTGTTTCAATGAAGGCAAATTCAATTTAAATTGTCATATTAGATTATATGAATTATTGTAATTATTTAAAAATTACACAAATACATTACTATGATTGGTAACACACAGGTAAAATACAAATGAAAAATCACTGACTATCTAGTTGATCTTTCTGATCAAATATCAAAAATCAAAGTTTTATGTCACTTCTTTCACAAAGTCGCTTCTCCAAAATGCACACCTAAAAACTTACTTTGATGTTGTAGCTCCACCAATCAACACTGGGATGTTGAGACCGACCCGCTCAAACTCTTTCACGTTATAAATCATTTCATCCAAAGATGGTGTGATCAACCCAGACAAACCAATGAAATCTGAAATTTTAAAGTAAAAAGGGCAAAGAATAAATCACATGCAGTTTTACACTAGCAAATTTATGAACCAGAAACCAAATTTTCAGCAATGATTGCTTTTCAAAAGCTGTCAATAAAGCTGAGGGAGGCCATACTTAATATTAACCAAATCATCAATGTCTCTTGCTTTCATTTATCATTTTAAAATGGAGGGACATTTATTTTATTGCTTTTGTAACAAAGACCACATGCAGACACAAAAATACACATTTTCCTTTACACATTAAATTACTCAAATTTTGGGCATAAAAACAAAAAGCCAAATTTTACAATAATAAGTCAGACATCTTTTTTTTAATTCATTTTATTACCTGCTTTCTCTCTGATGGCAGTTTCAATGATTTTTTCACAAGGGCACATAACTCCTAGGTCAATAACTCTAAGTGAAAAAAGTTATGAATAGCAAAATATGCTTCCATACATTAAAAAATTAATAAAAAGATAGTAAAAAAAATTTCATCAATTAAAAAAAAGTGTTTTCCTTATCCCATTGAATGTATATTCAATTATGGATATAAAATCTACTTGGTGATACATTGCAGAAGATTTAAGCTGGTAACAAACAGCACACAGATAAAAAAAAAAGCATAATGTGTATGTTCCATATAGACTTTAAGATAGTTAAAATATACCTGGAATGGCTGCCATTACATTAACTTACTTGTAATTGTTACACCCCAGAACAACACCAACTATGTTCTTGCCAATGTCATGCACATCTCCTTTAACTGTGGCTATCACAAACGTACCTTGGTAGTTGGGTTCCTGTGAATTATTACATATTTAATATAATATAAACCCTAATATTAGTATAACCTTTCTGTGTATGCAGTTGAAATTTAAAATTTTTTTTGGGCGTCAGTTGAATGCTCTATGACATTAATTTAATACATTATATATATTTAGACTTGTGCTGCCATGGATGGTATGCTTCTTGTGCCAGTTTTATTTCAGTATGAGTGTTTAGATGTTGCCTGTTAATGCACGTGGAGAAATTCTTTAAAAGGTTCCACTTACACTGCAATAATTGTGCTTTCTAAGTGGAAGTGACAGCATTGTATATGCTAAGCTTTGTTCTGGGTGGTTCTGAACTAGGTAATGTTTTTATGGGAAGGTAATAGCCTCCCTCCCCAAACTATATTTCCATTAACTGGTTAACTAGCATGAGCCGGTGGGAACGGCCCAGCATTTCTTCCATTATGGCCACGAGCTACTGGTAGCACCAATGTTTGTATCGTATTAAATCAAGTCAAATATTTATATTATTCCGTTCCTGTTTTGCTTCCAGATTTTAATTTACCGACAGGATGTTTATATTTGAACCGCATGCTATCGGCAGAATGTTTTAAAAAACGGGCTGTTCATTAATTTTGCTTCAATTTCCAAGCTAGTTACAAAATTGTACTACTTGTTTATTATGGCAACAAGTGACAGGGTTACTAAAGGCATATAAGTGATTGAAAGTGTAAATATTATTCAATATCTGTTTTCTTTGGTGCATTTTTCTTATTATTGGATATTTATTTGGAAACCACCAAATAAAAGGCTTTAAATGATTTGGAAATTTAAAATTTATATATACATTTATACATTGTGTAAATTGTTTTTTTATTGTAAATACTAATTTAACAATTGATAATTTCCTAACAAAACTTAACTTTACAAATATTTTATATTTACCTTATAGACAATTCAATTACCTACAAAACGGTTTATTAATTATAAGAATATGTTTATAATTAAGAAAACTGCAGCTGAATTTGTACATACACCTAAACTAAGAAAATGTGACCTACATTTAATTCGGCCACAGCTGGTTTTTCATTCTGGTAGATCAGTTAACAGTCAAGAATAGTAGATTTTTTTTTTAAAAATCCCACTTGTCGCAAAATTTCAAACATTCATCATACATCTGTAAAGCAACTTACAGCATCCTCAGGTAAACCCTTAGATCTCATCATCTCCAGTCTTTCTGTCTCCATGAAGGGAATGAGATGACCGACCGCTTTCTTCATGACCCTCGCTGACTTGATGACCTGGGGCAAGAACATTTTGCCAACACCAAACAAGTCTCCCACAATCGCCATACCCTGCGGAAAATTTTAAAATTCTTTCATCTCATCCAAATTCATTCAGTAAGTCTTACAGTAGGCATGTAAAATAAATTTTAAACCCTGGACCACATAACATATTTATTCAGGGTATATGTATTTATTCAGGGTACTGGGAAACAGTATTGTAACATAATTTTTAAAAATTAATTTCTTCAACAGATATATACCATACCGATGTTGATGTCAATATTTAAAAAAAAAAACACTACAACAAATCTTGTATTTCTATGACTTAAAAATTGTTTAACATATTTGAATAATGTGCTCCCAAATAGTTCTTGAATTTTATTTGACTTATCTCCATCATGCCATTTACTGATGTGCACTTATTACTGACCACACCCACAGCCTTTTTTTTTTTTTAAAGCTACAAAAAAGCAACCCTCCCCAACCTTTATTTATTGTAAAATGTTGTGATGTTTCAGGTGATTCATGCTTAGACTAAGCCTCACCTTCATTAGAGGACCTTCTATAACATTCAGAGGTCTGGGGTAAAGTTCTCTATTCTGACGAGCTTCTTCAGTATCCTCAATCACATATTTGTCAATGCCCTGCAATCACATATTTGTCAATGCCCCACAATTACATAATTGTCAATGCCCTGCAATCACATATTTGTCAATGCCCCACAATCACATATTTGTCAATGTCCCTCAATAACATATTTGTCACTGCCTTGATAAACAAATTTAAATTTTGTATACAATTAAGGTATAACAAACACAAATGAAAGTTAGGCTGCTTACATAATATAAAACTATCAAATTTTAAAGAACTCATCAATTCCTTAAAAGTCTAAAAGATTCTAACTTCATTTTTAAATGCCACAGTACAATTTGTCGTAGATTATTAATAATGAATGTATTTACTTTTACTATCAGTGCTGGTATTCACCTTTAAAGTGCCTCTAGTTTTGGACCTCTGCACTAGCATTCTAACACCCCATAAACATTTACCTTGACTAAAGAGTGGGACAGTCTTTCCTCTACAGACTTTTGCCTCCATTCATCTTCTTGGACGCACTTTTTATTCCCTTGCACCATGCTCTTTGTAGAAGAACCAAATATATATACAAATATGTCATTAACATTCTACACTTTGAAGTGTGTTTTTTTTTCTTCTTTAATTTAAAAAATATTAATAATTTCTAAAACAACAGTAAGTAGAAAAGTCATTTTTAAGCCCTATTGAAGGGAAGGCATTCTGAGATTTGTTTAAAAAAATTATTTGATAAGTTATTTCAGATTTTAAATATAAAATTTTCATTATAATTTTCAAATTACACAGCCATATTTCTGTGAAATGATCTCACATACAACACAGATTTTAAAAAAAAATTTGTCCTCCCCCATTACCTGCGCATATGTCAACAATTTCTCAGTCCCCTCAGGATCTTTATCCCACAATAAATTTTCACACATTTCAAGTAGCTCAGGTGGGATATCATCATACAATGGAAGTGCTCCAGCATTGACTATCCCCATATCCATGCCAGCCTAAAGTTGGGAGGGTTGTAAATGAGAGAAAGGCATGAAACAAAAGTAAGAGCGTGGACAAACTACGACAGATTTAATTGTGAATCCATTTAATGACAGAATCATATAGTTCTCAAGTCGCATCAGAACAATTCTAATTCTAATCTTTGAATGGAATACAATATTTTTAAAAATAATGTGAAATTAGATCAAAGAAGTTTTAGACAAGCTCTAATCTCTGGGATTATATAACAGCTCAAATCGTATTCTTTTAATTTAAATATTATTCTATAGAAATGCAACAATTCTTATGAAAGGCAATTAAGATTACACAAAAATATTTCCGTCTTTGAACACATGCCTTACAAGAGCAACATTTGAAGATTTAGTTTGAACCACGCATTTAATGGTGATGATTGTGTTTTGAAAGTGTTGGGATAGTACTGCTTAAATCAGGGTTTTGGGAATCTTGATGTTCCAAGTTTGGGTTATTAAGGTCTTACCTTGATGGCATGGTAGAGAAAAACACTGTGCATAGCTTCTCTCACTGCTTCCATTCCACGGAACGAGAAGGAGAAATTCGATACACCCCCACTGACCCTGGCTCCTGGCAATGTTTTCTATTTTATAAACAAAACAAGAGATTATTGTTTTACAGCAAAATGCATAGGAACAATTTAAAACAATTTAATTTTTAAAAAAATTACAGCTGTTAAATGCCTGTCACACCATCGTACCTTGATTATGGTAGAGGCTTCGATAAAATTCACACCATAGCTGTTATGCTCCTCAATACCAGTGGCTATTGTCAGGATGTTGGGGTCAAAGATTATATCATTGGGGTTAAAGCCAAGTTTCTGGGTGAGCAAGTTGTACGACCGTGTGCAGATCGCTACCTTACGCTCTGTGCCAGTAGCCTGGACAAATAAATTATGAAAGATATATTACTTATCTAGTAAAAAAAAAAGCATACCAGACTTATAAAGTCAGTGGTTTTAGTAGAGGTTGGGAAGTAAATATGTAATCTGGTTTTTAATTTATTCCATAAGTTTACTTTAGTAACTAATTCACTTATTTTTGGCATTATTTAGTTTTGGCGTATATTAAAAAAACAAAACATGATAAATATGCTGTAAAACAATATAAGGTTAAATTCAATCAAATAACCTTTTAACCACAACCAATCATTAATATCGCTAATCATCTAAAATTGGAATAATAGGCTTATTCTTAAACATTTTAATTTTTTTTAAATGCAACTATTCACTATTTTATCCATTCCATTTTTGTTTTATATAGCAGAAAAAAAATCCTTATTCATAATGAAAAAAAGAGCATGTTACAAAAGCCAAATAATAAATTTTTCTTATAACAAAAGTCAAAATAAATGAACTACCATTAGAGTGATCAATATCAAGCGTTTAAAATGATGACATCAACCAATGGCCGAAACCTTACCTGCCCTTCCTCATCGAAAGCCATTATTACGACAGCGGCGCCATATTTTTTAATAATTCTGGCTTTCTTCAAAAAATCTTCTTCACCTTCTTTCAAGCTGATGCTGTTGACGATACATTTCCCTTGTGCACACTTCAGGCCAGCCTCTATCACGGCAAAGTTGGAGGAATCAATGCATAATGGTACCTGGGGAGAACATTTTTGGGAATCAATACATAATGGGTTCCTGGGGAGAAAAGTTGTGGAGTAAGCATTATCTTATTAATCACAGGAATATCATTTATATTTTTATAAATATCTATAAATTGTTAAACTTACATGACAAGATAGGATTTGATTCATTTCATGTATGCAAATTTGAGCCTTACTTTCTTTCCGTCAACTAGAAGCCCTAACATCGCATAAACTATTTAATTTTCAACTAAATTCAGAGCATAACAAATTACACTTTTTAAAACTTCATTTAAAGCTGCTGGGCTCATAAAGGATAATAAATGAAGTACTGCTTTCAAGCTTTGTGAAGGAAACAGTAGAAAAGGGTAAGTGGAAGCTTGAAACATAAATAGAGGAAAATAAAAGAAGAATGTTTCGGCTCAGAGCCTTCCTCAGCAGACAGGACAAATGAAGTGTTACGTAGTACACTTTTTCCCCGTGCGTGAACTTTCTTTGACCCCTCATTAGACTCCTAGCAGAAAGTAACGTTTGTTGTGGGCGTGGTTAAATCTGTTTGATGTATCGTGTTTACCACCAACTTCCAATTAAACATGGTTAGTATGTCTACTAGTATGTTATGGAATGTTCTCGATTGTATTAGAAAAGTAAGGGCGTTTCTAGACGCGTCGATAGACCCATATATATGAATGATTGACAGGCACAGAGAGAGAGAGAGAGACGGAGATTGAGAGATATGTTTAACTTCACGAGACGTGCATTATTCTTTGTGTTCTTATATGTGTTTATTCGCATTGATCATTCATCCTTATTCATTGGCACATTGTAATAATTGTGTACCGTTACAAAATTTTTCCCATACTCTGTAAATTGATGATTTGTAATTATACTTCTTTTGTTTGTAATTGTATTATTACTAAATTAAATCTCATTAATTGTAAATGGTACTGTTTTGTGTGTCGTAATTTTGTTATTGTATTTATCTATGGTATCGTCCTTTGTTAGGCACTGTTTGAACGAGCTATAACTTAAAACAAGAGATTAATTTCTCACAAGAGAAGCCAGTGCGTAACAGAAGAAATAAGAAATAAAAAGTATTTAAAAAACTTAAAATGTTCGCCATTTGCATGTTATTATGAAGTTTCCGGTATTAGCATATATTTGATATTCCGGCAAGAAGGCGAACATTGTGTCAATGTATTAATTTCCAGCACATTTACCTTCGCAATTTCGGGCTCTGAAGCTATAAGATTGACAAATGTTGTCATGGCCGATATCCCATCAAGCATACCCTCGTCCATGTTTATGTCAATGACCTGAGCACCAGTTTGCACCTGCTCCTTAGCAACATTCAATGCTTCCTGAGAATATAAAATCATTTAACACATCAGTCAAGGATGAACAGTTGGGGACATGAACTCAATTACAAATTAACCTCTACTGTGAGATACAAAAGATACTTATGTCTCGCAGTACCATAAAGCATGTGTCCCATGGACTGCTGAGAATGCCGCTAAACTGTTAACGACGGTCTAACATATGATGTGACAAAATAGGATTTTAATTATCACAAATGTCAACCATCTTCAAATTGAATCTTAATAAGAACCAAAAAAAAAAGCTTCATGATGCCCAGTTTTATTTCAAATATCTGATCTGGACCTTTAAGGTGGAGAAACTGTCATTTTTTTAACAGTGTTCAAAGTTGGATCAAGTACCTCAAACTTCCTGGTCTTGATGAGTCTGCAAAACCTCTTTGATCCTGCCACATTGCATCTTTCACCAATGTTCACAAAGTTAGTTATTGGTGAGATGTAGAACGGTTCTAGGCCTAATAAAAAAATTGTTTTAAGACGTTAGGTGTTTATTTTTTTTTAAAAACATTTATTTAGGGTACTGGTACCTATTTTTGTAAAAGAAAATTTCAAAATATTGTAAAACACTGAGGTGAAAACATATAAAGAAAGATGTAAATATAATTTTCTCAAAATAATAAACTGCAAATGTTTTAACATTTAGTCATAAAGTGATTAGCTTAAAAGCATGATTTTTTAGTAGCCTGCAGATAGAAAGTTGTAGCTTAACCCATTACTGCCCATTACTCCTGCTAATTTCCCACCCATCAATGTCTATCGCCTTCTGTTGTTTTATGGTTGTTCAGGAAACTTAGCAACCCAACTCATACACAACATGTTTGCTAAACTGTACTGCTATTATCAGAAGAAAACACTTGTCTTTATGAAGAAATCCAAATGTTACATCTCCTCTCATTATTAAGTTATAGACCATTTGGCATGGCTTTCCAAGCTCTTTTTAAAGTTTATAGCAAGCTTAGGCTGATACGATGAATCTATCAAACCAACCAAGGTAGTATCTATTGAAACCACTGCAGAATGTGATCTGATCCAAAGGTTAAAGGTAACTCTGAATCTGATTAAAAAATTGGTACTCGTACATCAGAAGTTGATGCAAACAGTAAGCCATGGTGACGGCACAATGCTTGGCATAATGTACCACATTAAAACTTGAGATTTTGTATTACGATGGTGATTCTATTTTTAAACCCTATATTTGTGTCTTTCATCATTATTTAATTTTATTCACTTCATATTGCCTCTAAAAAAATTATGATGACTTTCAGTTGTATACACGTCACATACGTTATGTTTTTTATCAAAAGAAGATTGGACCTAAATTAAGCTATAAAAAAATTGAAAGCATTTCTTGGCAGAGAGAATATTGGAGACTTAAGACCTGTCATGCGAATGTAACAAGATATTTAATAAGCTAATCTACTCATCATCCACCTGAAAGACAGCAGCTGTTTGGTCTAAGTTCTGATGGAGGAATTCTTGGCTTGAAATTTTTGGCCACTTCTGCTATAGCCCTGAGAGAGTAAAAAAAAAAGTATGTTCCATTTATTTATTGAATTATTTATCAGACACAAAAAAAATAATTAAATTTGAAATAATTTAAGTTATTTTAATGATTGGAAAAACAAACATATTCAATAAAAAAAAAAAAATGCACAAATAAATGTTTTAACATTTTTAAAGTGTTATTGTTCTAGAAACCCACCCGAAGGACATGTGATGTAACTATTTGCAAATTAAGCCTAACAGGGTAATGGTGATGCCACTTATATACCACCAACCAAACAATACCTTATGTGTGTAGGTTGCGTACCACAGCAGCCACCAATTATATTGATCAATCCATCTTTCATAAACTCCTGGGAAGGAGAGACAGAGTATAAGAAAAAATTGGATCTGACAATTGGATTGTGTAGGGCAGTGGTCCCCAAATGGCGGTCCGTGGACTTTCACCGGTCCGCATGCCTAACGCTGCCGGTCCCCATTACATAAATATTTATGTCAAATAGAAATAAAAGTATAAAAATAAATCATGCACCGGTCCCTGGTAAAATTTCGAAACTCGTTCACCGGTACGCCAAACTTAAACGCTTGGGAACCACTGATGTAGAAAACATCCATATATTATGTATGCACCAAGAGGGGAGGGGAAGGGATTTTAACTGTGGAGATTTTGCACACGGAGGCTTGAGGCCAAGTGGGGTATGAAATTTGTATGTATGAATGGGAGTTTCCGAAAACGGATAGAGGGGATATGAAAATTTGAATATTTTTGTATATATAATATATGGATGGCTCCATCCATTTAACTTTATGTTAGAATATGGATCCTGTAAAACATAAAAATTACAGGTTACCAACTTATGTCACTATTGATATAGTTTATGTTACTTCCTAGTAATCCCTTTCAGTCTTTTGCAGCCCTTTACATTTTTAAAATAAAGATATTTAGTTTTGTGGGAGGTAATACTTGATAAGTTGATTGAAATAAACTCACTCTAACTTGGGCAGCCGTTTCATCTGGAGTTTCATCATATTCACCAAATGTATTAGGGAGGCCTGAGGAAAGAATAATGGTAAGAAGTAAAAGAAATAGTTGTTGACTAAATTTTTAAAAGCTCTTTAGCTTTGTACCCCTGATAAACTAGCCACAATCATGTCCTAGGTGAGACCACATTGGTTTTCCTGTAGATGTGTAAAATTTATAGAAAAATTGTCTCACTAGATTTCCTAGAAAATTTTATTTCAAAGCAATGTAAACTCTTTCTCTTGGACTGAAAGGGTTAACCATAAATATTTTTAAAATCTGGTGGGAGAGTAAATGTCAGTGTGGTAAAGTTGGTCAACCCTTAGAGTGGTGACACCATTACTTGATCAAGCTTAAGTGATACTGATGAGAAGAACACAATGACTTATATTAAGAAGAAAAAAAAAACTACCAGCATTAGGATAACACAGCACATATGCTGTAGTGTTTTTGCTGACAGCTTCGATAAAAGGTCTCATCTCTGAAGCACCCAGGGCACAATTGAGACCAAGGCACATGGGCTTGGAGTGAGAGACACTGAGAATGAAAGCTTCTGTGGTCTGACCTGATAAGGTCCTTCCACTTTTGTCTACAATGGTACCAGAAATCTGAACAAGCAAAACAAAAAGTGTGATGGTAAGTAAATATGCTGTTATTTATAAAAATTAAATTCTACAAACTACTAACTGCACTAATATGAAAATTAGAAAACAGATGAAAATTAGTTTAAAATAAACTTACAAATACTGGTACTTGAGTATAACCTGATTCAAAAACATTTTCAATGGCAAAGAGTGCAGCTTTTGCATTGGCTGTATCAAAAATAGTTTCCACTAATAAAACATCCGCACCGCCATCCAAAAGTCCTCTTGCTTGTTCAGCATAGGCATCCACGAGCTCATCAAAAGCTTTGTTGACGGAAATATGAAGTAAATTAAATAGATTTAGATAACGTTTAAAAAAATGTTATCCTTGTAGAAAGAATACGCACAATGAATTTTTGACAAAATTTTGCAAATGGAAAAATTAGATTTAAAGTTTTGCAAACAAAATAAATAAAAAGGTAGTAAAATTTAAATTGGTGATTTCAAACACAGTGATCTATAAATTCATGGTTATTTGGGCTAATAAGGAAGTTCAATTCAATAAAATATGAATAATGTATAAAATATATCTGCACCCAAAAACAGTTACCAGAAATTGGTTTGCAAAGTAATTTGGTCAACAGAAAATTGATAGACAGAAACTTGGTTGAACAAAAATTTGTTAGAAAAGAAGCTAGTTGGAACCAAAATTTGTTGGAATTTTTTATTTAAATTTTTTAATGTATTAAGGCTAAGAGGTGCGAGTGAGAAATGGGGAGATTTGTTCGAACTGAAGCATGTTCTAATTTTTTTTTATGTTGTTTAAGGATAGTTTTAACTGAAGGGAGATGACATTTCATTGCAGGGGTTAAATAATTCAATGAATCAATCAATAGACAAAATATAATGAGGAGAGTCACATGGAATTAAAGCTCCCCGTTTTTTACATTATTTTATTTATTTCAATTTTGGAGCTAGCAGATGCATGATTATGTTTTTGCTATGTTTAGTTACAGCCCTATTACCGGTTACAATTCGACATGGACACAAACCTTTTTGAAGTTTTCCCATTTCCATGTCAAATGAATTATCAGTGATTTTCTTTCTTCACATATGTGCAGCCATAAACTACTAAATTTTGTTTATTTGTGCTTGTAACGAAGGGTCATTTCGGACAAGAATGCCACTGTGAGTACTTGCCATTATCATATAAGGCCTATTCATCAGGTTGATGCAACTTATTATCTTTAAAAAATTGATTGTAATTATAAATCAGTGTTGTTCCACATCAAAAATTTAAATGAGATTGCCCAATATCCTATAAATGAAACGGACCAAATGCTAGCCAAAATGAAAGCTGGAGTATGTTTTAAAAAAACAACATTTTAGTTGTATTTCTATTTTTACTTACTTCCAAACTATTAAATAACAAGGCTACATTTTGTATTTTTTAAATTTCAATAAAATTCCATCCTAACATATCTCCCTGTTTCTCACTGGCACCTCTTCGCTGTAATAATATTCATCTAAAATCTTAAAATGAAACAAACTTCGGTTAGAATAAAGCTACCCACTTCTACCTCGCACCTCTTTAAAAAAATATTTGAACAAATTTCTATTTGAAAAAATTTCAGTTGATGAATTTCCACTTTAACAAATTTCTGTCAAACAAATATCGGGTACAAATCTTATCAAGTGTACACTGTCAATTTTTGTGAAAATTGATAAAAATTTCTTGTTTGATCCAATGCTTTCAACTTTTTCAACAATAATAATACTTTCAAAAAAACTTATGTATGTCTTTTTCTTCTCCTTAAAAAATAACTTGAAATAACTTACTGACATTCCTGAACTCAGGGTTCTCCACTGATGGTGAGATAGACAAGGTCCTGTTTGTTGGACCCATGGCACCAGCCACATAACGTTTGACACCTTAAAAAACATAGCCCATGAAACAGTAAAGTTTTCATCAGCAGAGAAGGACAACCCCAAGAGTTAACTTATCCACTGTTTTATGGTGGCCAGAGAAAGTTGTTCCAACTGACACCCCAACCCCACTAACTATTTTCTATTGTTAACACTCCTTTTTTATATCTAGAGCAGGCCTGCACAACTGTAAGGAGGGCCGTAATACTTCAAGAAAAACTGGTGCAGGACGAAAGAAAATAGGACGGGGGGAAGGCTATTAACAAAATAATAATAATAAAGAATCGTTTCTTTGCAGGCTGCAAAATGGGTGCTGGTGGGCCACGGCCCGTATGTTGTGCAGGTCTGACCTAGAGGACTGGATAAAATGTTTAAGGTGACCAGATACAGCTAACCAATGCCACCGCCTGGTCAACAACAACAGAAACCTCATCACAAGCAACATTATGGCACTATCATTCAATTGGTTTTAAATAATCTCTGTGAATGTATCCAATAGATAACCATCACATGCAAGATATATTTTTATTCATTAAAATATCAATCCATTTACTGTAATTAGTGTAATTCAGGCTTAAAAAATTCATTGGTAAAAGATAAATATGTTTAAAAAAAATTATTTAATTTTTTCTAACCAGTTTGTAGAGAAATTTCATCACATGCACTTTTGGCAAGTTGAGCTGCCTCCTTGTTAAGCCTATATACCTATTTTTATAGAGATAATAACAATTAGAACATTTAATGTTTTCTAATCAATAGATTTGAAGTAGGAATATCTTATAATTAGATCAAAAGGAACAGTAAATGTATTAACATAAAATATCAAGTAATGACAGCAACAAAACTGAATTGTAAAATTTTTGACTTACATATTCCTCCAAGCCATAATCTGACTGTGCTATTGAAGTTCCACTGAAAGTGTTTGTTTCTATAAAATCTGCTCCTGCAGCCAAATATTCCTAAATTAAAAAAATATGAACGCTATGAAAAAATCATGGAAAAATTCTATGTACTTTTAATATCACTAGGAGTCATATCATCTGAAACGGCAGTTTCAAGATATATTTAACCACCCTGTTCATATAAAATCTATCTCACAGCAAAGCCTTTCCATTTTTGGTAGATTCTTTAAATAATTTTGGACCTTTAGAGATTGGGGAATTTAAAGATTTCAGAAACTAAAATATAACTATTTTTAGGGAAACAAATGATTTTTAAGCTCAATTTCTTTCTTTTCTACTTAAAAGATAGTTAAAATATGACTAGCTAATGCGCTTCCATAGTTCAATTTTCATCGAAGTGTGAGGCATAATGGAAGTTTGCATTGAAAAAAATTGAAACTGGATTTCATTAAGACAACTTTTTACAATGAAAGAAAAAAAAGAAAACAATGATACTGTTGTCAGTCCTGTAACCACAATAGCAACTTCGTGAATTTTTAGACAAAGTTGTTAACAAATACAAAAACCTATATGGCCCTCTTCAGATTAATAGTGACACACACCTCCCTCACTGGTGTTCCAGGGTTCACAAAAACATTTATTGCTTAACATGTATCTCACATAATAAAATCGCTTATTGTGTGAGGTGAAGAGTCATTAACACATTGACTTATGGTAAGTTTATCGTGATGTCAGCACTACAGAAATAAAGTGTTACAACAGAATACCCTTGGTTGAACTTTGAATAGAAATTGTATTTTATCACAGTATAATTAAATAAGATGATTAAAAATATTATACTTTGAAACAGAGTTATTGAAATTGTCCACACAAAAAAACAAAATACTTATAATACTTGTATTATTTTCTCTCATTCCCTAATGCCCAACACAATTGATTTAGTGTGCTAATTTTGCTTTGTTGGTGTAAATTTGACTCTGTCAATCCCACTTAAGGGGGTACATTGTTGTGGACATGTTGAGATTTACACCAACAGACAATTTTATTTCATTTATTCAATTTTGTTGGTCTTTTTACAAATATTTCTGTTGTTTGAGAACCTTTTATATCTTTGACAAAACATTATTTGATTCAGGGGCTGTAAACAGACAGATGCACATCTAGCATTTTTATCTAATCAACTAATCTGACAATCTCATATTGATTCTAGATATCATTTATCAAAATTTAAATCTTGCATCCCTTTAATGTAAAATAAATTTTCCCAATGGACTACAATTTGGTGATTGTGTTAAGCTGTCTCCCTCTTTAACATATATAATTGTTGGATTTGTAGATTTCAAAACAAACTAATAAGCAGAGTTGAGTGAAGAAGTAGATGATACAAAGACATCACTGTTATAGACAGTTACAATTATTTCTTAATTTTTTCTTTTCTTTTTACTAACCTTATGTATTTTTAATATTACTTCAGGTTTTGTTAGGCAGAGCAAGTCATTGTTTCCTTTAAGGTTGCGTGGGTGATCTTTGAAAAATATACCACGAAAATCATCTTCATCAAGCCTTTCTCTTTGAATCATAGTGCCCATGCCACCATCAAATATCATTATTCTCTCTTTCAGTGTTTTTTCCAGAACTTCAAAGATATCTGAAAGAGTTAATACATTTTCTCATTGATTAAAAAGTATGAATAATTCTTTTAAAAAAATTAATTGAATCTTCTTTGTAACTAACGGAAATATATATGAGTATTTAAACTATCAATTAATTATTCCACAAAGTTTCATTAGGATTTTGAATCCTCAATTTTTTAACAATTAATACAATAGCAATAAATTATTAACCCTTTGTTTAGGTTGTCAACTATCCACCATGAAATAGTGTCACATTAAAATTTAACTCTTTATTATTCCACAAAGTTTCATTAAGATTTTGAATCCTCAATTTTTTAACAATTAATACAATAATAGCAATAAATTATTAACCCTTTGTTTAGGTTATCAACTATCCACCATGAAATAGTGTCACATTAAAATTTAACTCTTGAATTTGCGTCTTTATTTATTCATAATTCTCGATTATCCAAATTAATATTTATCCACAATTAATATTCCCACAATGGACCTTATCCTGTATCCAGAATAGCCCCGAGTATATTAAAAGTTTTAATTTTTATAGACAGTCACTTTGATGCATCTTGCACTCTACAGGACCACATTCATTGTATGACACTACTATACTGATGCATACATTTGCCAAAAAGTACTTTCATACCAGAGGCAGTAAGTCTTAAATAAAAAGGGATACACTCAACATATCTGTATACTGTTATAATTGACTTATTCATATGACATAAGCCTACATTTATATTTAATATTAATAGACATATTAAAAGAGAATCATCATCCATATTGACAACTGACCATATATTATGATATATATTCAAATGATATTGTATTAAGCTATTGTATTATTAATTTTTAAGCTATACTATACAAATATTCTATATAATTATATAATAATATCAATAATCAAATAATTGAAAATGTTGACTTTCTAACTTTCTTAAAAATCAGTTTTAAAAACTAGTAATACTTGACTTAAGGCAAGCTAGATATTACTAATATTAGATAGCCTGGTGAAGTTACTAATGATTAATGACTAATGAATCTTAAAACTAAAAAGTTTTTAGTTTTTAGGGTAAGTCGGTAAGTGTAAGTCAACTCAAAGTCATTTATTTTTAATTAAACAAAGGGCTTGGAACTTTTTAATTGTTTCTTTTCTTATATTAAAATTTGGGTATAATAACAGACGAACATTTTTACTAATTGATTAATATTGCCATAAAATAAGTCTACAGTACCGGTAGTAGTTGTAGTAGTAGTAGTCTAGTAGTAGTAGTACTAATAGTAGTGACTAAGTCCGTTTTCATGAAAATTTATGTTATACCACATAATCTAAAAATAATTGATATTACATGCCTAGATCGCTACAGCTTTTTCATTTTTATAGTGATCCTGTTTAAAGTAAGTATTTCTAAATAAATTTACAACGAAATAATTGTTTACTAAAACTGACGACTATCGATATTAAAAGTAGGCCAAACACATGGCTGTGTATATAAATAAAACTTTTTTAGGTCATGCATGTGTTGTGCGCAGCACAGGATGTATTATACTGTGTTGGATTATTCACGCTAAAAATACCTGATGCTTTTGAAGGCTGAGTGCTATCAGATATTGTCGGAGGCATTTTATCTGCAGTTTTTTAATGTTGTATTTTTCTTAAAGCTAAAATATATATATATTTCCTATAATATAAAACTGCCCGGTTTTGCACCAAATGAAATCTTTGATAAGCGGTTCGTTCTTATATAAGGTGACAATGTCCTCAGTGCGCATGAACGGACCTGCGTCATATTATTTCCTGTAGTCGTGGAACTCTTCGGAACTTATACTAGCAAACTTTTTCTTTTCAACATAAGGAAAATTTCGTGACGCATTTAGGTATATTTTAAACTTGTATGTTTGTAAATATTGGTTTCTTTAACCTTTTTGTGAACGACTATTTTCAATTAGATCATTGTCTATTCAACCCAACTGCGGTAAAACCTCAACTGTGTATTATATTAGATGTTATTTATTCAGGTCAAAATTAGTTGCATCAAACTTCACTCACTCTCACAGTTCACAGCCGCAGCCTGTGAAAAAAAAAAGAGTCACTTCTAATTTTACCTTTGACTTAAAGCCAAAAGTTGGGCGTCAGTAGAGGAAAAGAATTAGAAGTTTTGCCTTGAATCCACTTTTCTTATTAATTTTACTTCTTCTGGATACACTTTTTGGTAACACTTTTTATTTACTAACTTTTGAGCTAGATAGAAAAGACATTATTTATTTAGACAAAATAGCACCACTAAATCTAAACTGGAAGTTTCAGTTGAAAAGAGTTGAACATTCATGACAGTTACTAATACTCATATAGTAGGCCTAAATTATAAATTATACTATAACTTAGTACTCCATAACAGTATAACTTGTAGTTTTGATTAGGAGGCAGTAATACCAATAGTATAATAAGTATGGTAGTAAGTAGACTTGACTTATATTTCCATTAATCATTAAGGCAAGGCCTAGTTATTATTAAATATAGGCTAATTCAATACTGACAATAGCCTGAATGATCAGTGAATTATTATTTTTAATTATTATCTTTGAATGCAAGGAGTGGTAGAACAAAACAGCTCTGCTTGACCTGATACAATCAGTGATTGTATTAAAAAAAACAAAATTGTATATTGCTAAGTAGCAATATGGTTTTTAATCTACGAAGTGTCTACACGTCCGGCGCGCCTGACAAATAGTGCGGGAGATTTATGTCTGGCGGGCATGTCACTTGACCGCCGGACGACTGTTAAAGCGTTATTATTCCGGCAGATCATGTGACCAAGTGGTTGCCGTTAAATTATTGGATTGCTTTTGATATTCCAATATTGTGTACATATATTAGTCAGCCGATCCGTAGATAATTAATAAATGCTGAACATGTTAATATAATCAAATGCTCTGGGATACATAAACTGTTTGACTTTGAATATTAAACCAGTCGGCCTAAATACTAACTAGTAGTAGGCCAACTATCACTACTACCATTACTAATCTATTTATTCCGACTCTTCAAAGAAAAAAGTCCCATATCTCAGTTAAATATCTTGTAAAGCTCTACCTTGAAGCCTAAATTTAAAATACGAACCAAATAAAATAAAACCTATGTCAATAACGTTGTATTTCAGGATTAGTATTTAGTATTGCATGAGAAGTAGGCTAAGCTACCACCATATCTGCCCTATATTAAGATGTAGGGTTTATCTCTTTGTAAACTATCGGCCTCCTCGCCTTAAACGTAATTATTTATCACCCCCAATATGACTTTGTTACAGCGGTCATGTGACCTGGTCGCCGGACAAAAAGTGCGGGAGATATAAGTCCGGCCCGGCGCGCCGGATGTGTAGACACTGCCTTTAATCTAACTTTTTCAGGGGTAAACTATTAACTAATTACTAATAAAGGAAGTTTTAAAAATTATTATTATTTCTTTCAAAAAAAGCTCTGCTAACATCATTTTACATATTTGAACGCAATTGAAGAAAAAAAACACCAAAAAACTAACTAATAATAATTACCTTTTATAAATATTTCCAAGGTTTACCCGATTCAAAAAGAAAAAAATACTGTTTCATTTTTGTATCAACAATAATTCTAATATTGTTGCTAGGCCTATAATTATAAGTGGCTCAATATAACAGGTTGTTTTGGCCATATTTAGCATCATGAATCTACCAAGTAATCCAAATTTACATAAAACACACTCACTGGGTCCGGATTCTAGATAAACTCCTAAAATTGGCAGCTTACAGATTTTCTAATCAATAGGCCTAATGTTAAACATTTGTATAATTCATTACAACAAATTGAATGTTTAAATCACTCATAATGCCATGGATACTACTTTTGTAAATGCTATGTTAACTGTGTTACTATGTTATGTCTCATATTTCAGGATAACTGCTGGGTGATGCCCAGGTTAGGACCAGATCAATGCTAGCCCGCAGGAGAAGGAATAATTCGGGCTCTGATGGTCAGCAGCAGCAACAAATAGCATCCTCGAGTTATCAGCAAGGACACAGCAGCCCAAGGCAACAATCTCCACCACTTCCACCTTCTTCTCGTCCACAACAGCTATTCACAGATCCAGATATGACGTGCAGAGATCGATCAACAGAGTTTATGTCTGTTGTAAAATCGATCCAGTCACGACAGGTAAGACAATTTTTAGATATTTTAAAATAATTAAAAGAAACTCACCTATGATTTAACTTGACTCATTATTTTCCGGTATTACTGTGAATTGTTAGCTAATTAATATCTGTATATAGCTAATTAATATATGTATATCTTTTCAGGGTAATGGAGTGGTTCAAAATCACAGAAACAGGGCCTTACATGTCCGCAGCGAGTTCACCAATATTGCAAAGTAAATAGTTTTTAAAGTTCAGTTTCTCTTTTGAATAATCATATAATATATAACAAATCTTGTTATAGTCACACAGAAATAATCTTTTTTTTTGTTTAATAAATTTGAAATTATTCCACTGTAGGATCTGTTACCTGTATAATAAATTGATTCTGAACTAGAATTAGATCATGTAAATGATAATATTATCAATGCTGTAAATTTATTATTACTTGTGTATATTGCTTTTAAAAACTTTCTGAATATTGTCTTAATTTACATATTTCTATTATTTAGACGTATAGGTAAAGACCTTGCCAACACATTTGCCAAATTAGAAAAGCTCACAATATGTAAGTTTTGGTGTTATATCTGTATATTTAAAGTTACATAATAACAGTGGAATGTTAGCTGAAATTTTATCTATATTAATTTTGTACTGTTCATCTGAATTTTTAAAAATCTGTATTACCATAATTGCATTGGTTGCACCTGAAATGTGTTTTTTTTTAAAAACTTCTTATTAATCATTTGCCATTATCTACTTATGCAGTGTGGGTTTTACAAATTTATATATATTTTTTTTTTAATTGCTTCCAGTGGCTAAACGAAAGGCAATTTTTGATGACAAGCCTTTGGAGATTCAGGAGTTGACCTACATCATCAAACAAGATATCAACAGTCTGAATGATCAGATCGCTCAGTTGCAGCAGGTGAGTAGTATTTAGTCACAACTGCAGTAACTTATCATTGTCTTGTGGACTCATTTCCAATCCAATGCATTGCTTTCACGTATCTATAGGTCATCATAATCTTTTACTTTGTTGATTTTGACATATTTAACCTGCTGAGTTCTGTTTATTTTCATCAAGAGAAACCTTCAAATCATTGTTTTAAAAAAATATATATATTGTTTGCATTTTAAAATCAAAAAAACTTTTTTTTTTCTTTATGTATCTTAATAAATTATCTCTAAAATTGAGTTTGTTTGTTTTTTAGACCAAAATTTACTTCACATCAGCTTTACCATAGTTTTTAGAATTTTAAAGAAATAATCAAAAAATATAATGAATAAATATTTTAGGCTTACAGTTTTATTTTACTTGGTATAGTAGCTTTTGCTTTCCTTTAAATTTCAGTAACTGTGTTGAATGAAATTATTAAAAAATATTATCCATTCCGCTGTTGACATATTATATATTTAAATATTTTCATATATACTTCGTAAATTAAATTGTGTTATACTAAAATTAATTTACAATATTTCAGCTGGCCAAATCACAGAGGTCACAAAATGGCAAACACTTGCAAACACATTCCAACACAGTTGTCGTTGCTTTACAGGTCAGCTGTAGTAAATTTAGGAAAATCTGCACAGATGAACTTGTATTATAGAATGAAAATGTATTTTGATCATAAGTTGTTAATCTTAGCAATACAAAATTGGACGGAAACTGTTAATAAATATTTTAACGCCTTAAAGGGTTATGATCTATATCATTATATTTATATTGTTTATATATTTTTTTACTAAAATATTGTGTTGCGTTGATCATAAATTTTACTTTTGTAATTTAAACTTTTGCAATCTGTAAATAGAAGAGTCAATGAATTGGTAATAATTTTTTATTAAACCATTATGTTTAAATAAATTATCTTTTTCTTTTTATTGCACAGTCCAAATTAGCGTCAATGTCAAATGACTTTAGACAAGTTCTTGAAGTCAGGACAGAAGTAAGTTTCATTATTTCGTTATTAATAAAGAAAGCATGTGTTTATCTTTAGAGGCTAATAATAAAGAGCTTATGACTGGTTGTGCTAGATGATTAAGCAAGAAAAAAGATCCACTGTCATAGAGGGGTTCTTTGGATACATTCAACTTTTAATTTTAAATTCATATTACTAATATAAAATTATAATGCAGAAAATCTTTGATTCAGTGCAACATAGTTCATTCAATAAACTCTTTGCATGCTGCTAAATAGGCCACTACAGGGGAAAAATGCATTAAAAGTCTGGACAGAAGTTGTGTTTCAATATCTCAACTCTGTAGGGAACTGTGCAAATAAATAATGAAAATCTACTTAATAGAAAGTATCCGATTGCATCGGAAGATAACTGTGGCCAACATTGAAAACGGCAATGACTACTAAAAAAATCAGTAACTCAAACAATTGATGAATTGTAAATTTTTCATTTTGAAAACATTAATTCACTTTTCAAATCCATTCCCGGTATTTGGCTGAATATTTAAATGATTCTTGACTAGACTTTTCCAACTTAGTGCCCACAGGGGATTCCCAATCTAACAAACTCAAAGCTGCTGCCCCGTTTCTTCAGGGGTTGAAGGTGGAATTTTGGGAGATGCAAGGAAAAGATTTTTCAAGTACAGGGGAGACATTAGCTTTTTAGTTATGATATAAATTATTATTTATTTTAAAACATTTCTTCATTAACATTTTCCTTCATATAAGTCACAAATATATTTTCTAAGCTCTACAATTTTCTATGTATTTAAATAAGAAAATTAGAAGTCCATTAATTTCAAATTTTAAAATGCATTGTTAGTATTGATGGGGTGTAAGGCTTAGGAAAACAATAGTTGGTGCTGAGTATAGCAAGCTTAGGAGGAAACACTGCTTAGATTGTTCTTTGAAGATTATCAAAAATGACTTATGAATATTTATTCACTTTTCTCATGTTTAAAGTAATTGTGCCTTTTAATTTGTGTTCACTAAAGAGGGGATTTAAACATTTTCTTGATTTCTTCTTAGAATTTGAAACACCAAAAATCAAGGAGAGAGCAGTTCTCATCCACACCTGTAACATCATCCCTGCCCCCATCAGCATATCAAGGACATATGAGTGAGTCAGTTGGGTTATAGCATTTAAAAAAAAGTTATCTGGTTTCCTTAAGACAAAAACTGGTGCTCAGTTAAATGAATTACATGTATTTTAAAAAGTTTATATTCTCTGTAGCACTGCTCACAATTGTAGTGGTTTTCTTTCACATTTGTTTCAAATCTTCCAAGTGGCAAACACATGAATAGTATTTCAATGGAACCCTTTCTTAAAATAAATTCACATATATTATTTGTTTCTTTTAAGTACCGGTACTTGAAGAAGGGTATGAAAAAATTCTTGTGCAAGACAATCACAAATTCACTAAAACTAGTTACACCTTATCAACACCACAAATTCACTAAAACTAGTTACACCTCTATCAACACCAGAAATTCACTAAAACTAGTTACACCTCTATCAACACCACAAAGCTCACTAAAACTAGTTACACCTCTATCAACACCACAAATTCACTAAAACTAGTTACACCTCTATCAACACCACAAATTCACTAAAACTAGTTACACCTCTATCAACACCACAAAGCTCACTATCCACAAGAGATGGACTTTTTTAATTTATTTTTTTATTTTTAAAAAAGAATGATACTTTAACTAATCACAGTGCTATTTGCTTGTAAAACCCAGCTCTAATAGGACACCAGCTATTAAGGTTAATGCATTACTAATGACACATAATTGTGCCACAGTTTTTAATAAAAGCTGTGAAGTTGTTATGGAAATGATTGACCACTTGTTCTAATAATAATTAAAAGTTTTCTACTTACATTTGGATAAGGAGAAAAGAATCATCATTGCAAAGAAAATCACTGTAGTTCTTGTCAAAAAGTTGATTGAATTCCACCCCAACAATTTATATTGACAAACTTGAAACATGCTGTTTTTTTAATAATTTATTTTAGATGGCTCAGTTCTTCTACAAGATGATGCCAGCCACACAGGAAATGGAGATGTGGCTATTGATATGTCAGGGGGGGCACGGGGAGGTCAACTCCAGAACCAGTTGCAGCTTATTGATGAACAAGTAAGTTTGGTTGAGACTTTCAAAATATCATAACAGGATAGTTCCAGGGCTTTTAAAAATAGAAAAATGTTTCATTTGACTGAACTGTGTGGTGAAATGACTTCTATTGGAAGGTGTTGGTGGATAACTTTCACATGCATTTATCACTTACTCGTGGGCTTTGCAACACTTTTAGAAGTTATAAAAGTTAAGGATATAATAATAAATAATAAAGTTCATTTCAAAAACACGCTTCATCCCCAAAGGCTCGAAGCGCGGTACAAAGTCAAAAAAAAAAAAAAATCTATAGTTTACCACATTTAAAACAAACGCAACACGACAAAAACTAATTACAAGCATACAATGGCAAAGTCTTTCTAGCCATTTCAACCATAAGCAACACAGCCATTATGCATTAACTGGAAAATAATGTTGACAATCATCCCAGAAGGTGTTTGCGAAATAGATGTGTCTTTAAATCGGTTTTAAAGGACTCCAGTGTCTGGTTGTTTCTGAGATCGACAGGAAGGGCGTTCCAAATTAGTGGACCAGCAAATGCGAAAGTGCGCTTTCCGTAAGTCTCAAGGCAAACACGTGGTGTCGAGAGTTTGCCACTATCGGATGAGCGGAGCTCTCTAGTGGGTACATAAGGCGTCAGCAGCTCTTTCAGATAGTTAACACGAAATAATAATGCCGAACCGAGTATATATATATATTTTTGTATGCATCGTTTCCAACAATATGAGAATTCATAGCCCATAAAATAGCTTAGCTCTACGTTTGCATTTAATTTATTTCTAGATTGTATGGACATTGGCCTATCATAAAGCCTAAGATTCATTATAATGGTTGATTGCTTTGAAAATAAATTTTATATGATCAGACCGTTTAAAACTTAACTTACCAGGGAAATAATCCCCAATCCAGCTGCTAAGGGCTGTGATTTCTTGCATTACTGCTATATGGCTACCAGACTATATGTGAAATGATAAAAGAAAAAAGAAGTGAACAACTTTTCCAATAGTCATAGGTAGACAGGTCCCTTAATCCCTTTCCAATCCAACCACAATGAATTCAGATGGAGGTATTGGAGAGGGCATGAGCTTGAAGACAAACATCCATTGTGCAGTTAACTTTATTAGTCTTTACCATAGTAGTCACAAGCATGTCTGGAAAGTGTTGATGTTAGGCAATGGATCTTCTCATTTGTAATTACACAATGAATTATAAAATAAGGCATGTATTAATATAGTATGTCCCGACACGTTGCGTGAGATAACAGATATCCAAACGGTACCTCACCATCCTTAAGATGGGATGAAGTCTTTAGATAACTAAATCTCAAAATGGCCAACGCGTGTCCCAGCTTGGAGACGGATGGCCCACATATTGACATTGCAAAACACGATGATCATACTGAATCATCTCTTTAAAGGCATGGTGTTAAAAATGTATCAAAATATAAGGATTGAAATGGAATGCTTAAACAACTCACTCTGTTAGATTTGCCGTCTTCAGTCTCACAAAGTAACGAAGTGGTCATTATGGTGCGAAGATCTAGATTTCTTAATGATAACATGGTATATAAAGTAATGGTTATATAATTGGTCATTGGCTGATTTCAGTCTTTCAATCCAGACCAATGAAGTAAATCTTTAGAAGCATGATCAAAATTTTACACAAGTTAACTCACTCATAGCATAGGGGTGGGTATTTTTACTGCACGGTTCATGACACAGTTCAATACTCTTGGGGGATTGTTGACAAAATTAAGAGGATGAATGAAACCAGGGGGAATAACTCATACTAAACAATAAGAAAAAAGTGAATGGGTGTTCTAGCAAGGTGTTCTTAATGTATCACTGTATTGAAATTTAAAAGAACCGACTAGATTTCATCACAAACTGAAGTATAATCTGCTAATCTTGCTTGTTTCAGGATGCTTACATTCAGAGTAGGGCTGAGACGATGCAAAACATTGAGTCAACCATAGTGGAACTCGGAAGTATATTTCAGCAGCTTGCGCACATGGTTAAAGAGCAGGAAGAAATTGTTGGAAGGTGAGCTTTTTTTGTGTTTTACTGTGTTTTTTTTTAAAGGATAAATGACAACATAAATGATTCAAACCCAGTCACTCCAGGGGGCCTGGACCCTTTCCATCTTGTAAACACACTTGAAATAATGTGTCTAAATTAAGCAACAGCTTGTGGAATTATCATTTAAAGAAATTATTACATAGGTTATAGTATTCCATCAAAAATTTTTTTTCTCTTAAATTATGTAAACAAATATTGCAATACCAATGCTCTAAACCAGTGAGGGGAAATTTTTGGGCTGTAGCGGGGGCCAAGAGTTGATTTAATATTTCACTAAAACTAGTTGGTGTGGAGTTTTACCGAGAAATTAGATAAATTTACGTTTTTCATGAGTTTTCATCTGATGAGGATTATACACATTTTTCTCACATACCATTTTTATAGGATTGATCAGAATGTAGATGAAGCAAGCCAGAACATTGAGGCGGCCCATTCAGAGATTCTCAAGTATTTCCAGTCTGTGACATCAAATCGTTGGCTAATGATCAAGATTTTTGGTGTACTGATGGTTTTCTTTATTATATTTATAGTCTTCATGGCATAGGAGTTTTGATTCTGGTTTACAATGGCAGGTCTGAACCGTTGGACCTCAGGATTTTTACAAATATATATATTTTTTTCTAAATTAAACATCTTTGAAATACTGTGAGCGAAACGTCGAGTGCTCACCCTGACATGCTACGGGAAACCTTTAATTCTGCTGATGTTCCTCATTGTGGCAGGAATGAAGCATTATGCAGTAGTGTGACTGTTTCTGTCACCAGAACCTGAACCCACTGGATACTTGTTGTCAAAAAAACAATTGACGTTTACTGCATGTCATAATTGATGTGCATATTTAAGTCCTGTTTTAATCATCTCACTGATTATATAGTGGCTGTATTTTTGAGCCCATTTTGATTGTATCTTGTTTATCCTTCCCATAGTGCAAAGAACAAGATATTCAAAGCTGTATTTTTTGCGCGCCCCCCCCCCCCAATTTTACCAAAGTCTACCTGATGTAAGGGTCTAAAACATACAATTGATTTCTAACCCCATATTTACATATTAAACTTTAGCTGGCCTTATTGACCTTGAATGACTCTGAAAACAGTTCTAACTTCTTGATGACCTGATGTATTAAACTGATATTTCACAGAAAAGCCTAAATGACTTCATACTAGTTTGCCAGATTTACTTGGCTGGTAAAGTGTGTCACCAGTATTTCAGGTCTTGTTTTTTTTCCATCATCATCATCTATACGGTCATTGTTCAAATAATGGGTGCAGGGACCATGCTCTAGGCTTTATTTTCTGGTAAAAGGCATCATTTTCTTAGCTATCTCTTTGTGAGAATTGTATAAATTTTGACAACCCTATTGTCTGTTATATAATACATAAAAAAAATAATGCCAACTGTCAAGGAATTTAAAGAAAAAAAATTTGCTGAATAATTTGTAGACAAAATTTACTCTTTTTTTTTGTAACCCTTCCCATTCCCACACTTGAATCAAAAATTATTTTTTTTTAAAGTTCTTAAATGAGGCCATACCACATTGACATACATTTATTAACATTTTTATTTAATTTCACTGTGATGCTTCTTGTTCATTACCATTTAAAAAATGCACAAATGGAAGTGGATCAAAAGCAATCTTTGGACAATCTGAACGACAATTGAAATATTTCAAATACATTTTTATTTGCTGCTGTTCAGTCTCCTCTGTGAAGAATAAAGACGAAGCATTTTGCCAATTATCGTGAACTTATTTGCAGTTGGCTCACTTGACATAAATTTGTCACTTAAATTGAAACGTGGCAGACCATAATTATGGCAATCCTATTAAAATATAATATTTGCACACAATCATTTGGTATATTAATTCTCCTTGATAATCTGTTGTTTATAAATGTGATTGTACAGCTTATGATCATTCAGTACCAATACAATTTTCTGGATTGCTAGAATCACCAGGTGTTATATATTTTTTCACAAATATCTGAACAATTAGTTTGAGCTGTGTACCATGTTGAATTCCTTGCACAGTGACATAAATGAACAATGCAAAGACACTAGAAGAAAATTTCAAAGTGCTATTGAATGCAAACCCTGGCTTTGATTATCTCTAACAAGTCTTTGACAGAAGATCCTGTAGAGATGGGATGCAAAGCTTCCACCCATTTCTGAAAGATGAATCTGATAATTTGGTGCCAGTGTTGACACTATGATATTCTCTTATACTTATTGTTGATATGAAAATGTGGGAACATTTCAAACAAAAACTCTGTAGATAAAAATGTGTGTTGATTTGATTTCATTTGTAAATAAACTATATGCATGTATTTATTTGATTATGATGTAAATAACTGTGAAAATGTCAAGAAATAAATTATGAACACAAGCTTGCTTCATTTTTTTGTAATTGTTATGAGCAAGTCTCTCACCCCCTACAAAAATAACACAGCATTTTAAAATTGTTGGGGGGGGGGGATTACATCTAATTTTTTTTATAGAATATTAAGAGAACTGTAGATCATAGAAAATTAACTTGTAACTATATACAGTGAAAATCGTTTAACATAAAACTGAGGGCACCGAAATATTTCTTCGTGTCAAAAGAATTTCATGTTGGAAACGATGCATACAAAAATATATATATATACTCGGTTCGGCATTATTATTTCGTGTTAACCAATTTTTCATGTTAAGCGTTTTCGTTTTTAATGTATTGAACTGTATAGTAAAATATTAATGAAACAATAAATAAAATATAAACCTATGACTTCAAATTGAACGTCAAGGCTCCTCTGTTCTTATATTACTTTTTCTTTGCATCCCATGAAGTGTCAACTCTCACCCCGGCTTGGGGAAACCCTGTCCCAGATGAAAATGGCTAAGATCTAGATCAGCGTTTCACAAACTGTTAAGTTTGGTTGACCAGTGGATGATTCCTATTGGACCAGTGCTGACTTTTTGGATCTCAAATGAGTTGAAGTATAGCACAATAGTGCTTTCACATGGGTTCAGGGCTCAGGCTCCTTGTCCAAGTCGTCTTAACTGTTATGTGTGTTATCTGGCCTCCCCATATTTTCCAAACCAAAAAACACTTGGAATTCCCTTGTTAGGTGTTTATTTTTATTTGATAAGCTTCACATTGGTTAAAATTTTAATCTTGCACACAGTTTCAGCTTCACAAGTCTTAAGATATGAATAATTTACCTAGATACACACACCCCCTTAAAAACATTCAAAAGCTTCAAAATAATTTGAAAATTACATCTATTGTTCACTTCCAAGTCTTTAGAAATCTGACAATTTTAATAACATTGTTGGCTTCCAAGTCTGTAGAAGTTCTCAAATAAGAAAATGCAACTGAAAACGTCACACAAATTTATATTTCATTTATTTTGATTGACATGAAACGCTATTGATTGACATAATCATAAATCACAAGTCAAAACCAACTTGTCATATTAATAAATATAATTAATCAACAGTGGATAACTAAATGCATGCATCAGTATTCAAGCAGTGTGATTTAGAAGAGTATTTATCAGACATGCAGGGCAAATTAACTGAGTAGCACCACCTCAGACAAGGGTAACAGCTGAAAGATATTGATCATTAAAAATGAACCAAAGAAAGACAACCCAAAACTCTACCTGTTAAAATGAACACATTTTTAGCAGTATTAATGTTATTTCTGGGGCATAATAAAACAAAATTGTTTTTTTTTTATCTGGCAGTGGAAACAGTTTTGTTTAATGGCATGTTGTATCTTGACCGTGGCATATTAAATTATTTTTTATTTAAAAGAACAGTTAATATAATATAAACTTACATTATATGGCATTCTATTTCTATCCGAGGTAGGTGTTTCTTTTTTCAACTGAAAACAACATTTAAAAAATTACTTCACAAGCTTTAAATATATAATTATTGTATATGATTAAATCATTTTCAAGGAAGAATGAGTGGCTAAACATCTCTAAGACTCCAACTAAGAAATTTGAAATCAAGGTAAGAAGGACATTTTAACAAATATTTTATTTTACAGTATAATTATGTTGAATATGGTTTTAATTGACGCAATGAAATTTGATATTTTTAGCTACATGAAATCAAATTAAAACATTCAGGCCCCCTCCGTCCTCACTAAAATTCTCAGCTCCATTTGATAAACTGTTTTGTGGGCGGCATAATGATTTTTTTAATTTGGAAAGACATTTTTGTATAGAAACTTTATTATTTCACTTCCTTTCTTTATTAAATAATTAATGCTACTTCACTGAAGTACAATACAGTGCACATATTAGCTACTAAATAAGGTTTCAAAATGTTCAATTTATTACCAGCACATACTTTTCCCATGCCATAAAAGTACATCTAATTATAACTTTACAAAAAGGAGTTATTTTATTTCTTGTGAAATGTTTTTAACCACCTTCAGCATGACACTAGGTACCAAGATGTGGATAAAGGAATGGTTTAATATCATAAAATGTGAATATTTGAGTAAACGAAGATGTCAAACAACCATATCTTGAAATGGGCAGATCCTATGATATCAGCTTCACTCTCAGTCCATTAATCAACATTTTAATTTTTAACATTGTTTCCATTTTGAAGTTTTTCAATAAGGTCATCAACATTATAGTTAACTGAGCAAACTGTTACTACAAGGTGAGTTAAACTGACAAAATGCTTTTGCCTTTGAAAGAAATGTTTAAAATGTGAGTGTTGTATATTACTACAGATATAAAAACTGTGAAATAAAATTCATGTCTTAATGTTGAATATATAAAATAAGATTGCATTTGTGTTAGGACACTGAGAGTCAAGTTATCAATTTCAACATAAATTATCATACATGTATAAGCATTCATAATGTCAAAAATGGATGAATAAAACAGATTTTAAAGAAAAAGCGAAGGGAATCGAAATTAAATGTTATGTTTGTTTTCTAGTTAAAATATACCAAGGTTTATTCAAATCAATTTTTGTAGACTTTTTTCAATTTTTTAAAGTTACTAATCAAAACGTCTGTAAATAATATAAGGTTTGAGAATAGTTTAACATTTCCTACTTGGTTAACAAGCCTGTTTAAAAAAATACAACTTGGGTGTAAAATTAAAAAAAAAGATTTTACCTATTTTTCAAATCTTCAAAGATTAAGTTGCTTAGTATGAGATAACTTTTAGCAACATTTCAAGCACATTCCTAGATAATCAATATTCTTACCCATGTCCTGCAAAACATAATTCTTTATCCAAAATTTCATGAGCTGCTGTTACAAGGCAATCCTAGCAGCAAAGTGTATTTGTCGTTTGGGATACATTAAAACAAACATTCTAAAATACTGGCCAGCATTTGATGAGCAAAGAAGAACAGAAATCAAAAAAATGTTCATCTTTCTTCTACAGAAAAATTAAAATACAGTTTACACATTCATAACAATTGTAAGTAAACAATGCTGTTTCATTAAGAAAAAAAAAAAGGAGGTTTATCTGTCATCAGGAGATTGAAATAAAGTAGGGTAGGTTTAAAAAAAAATCAAAATTACAAAAACCAATTGAAATTATAGGAAGTATTTAAAAATGGAGAAAATGCTGACAGATTTACCATTTTTTTAAACCACCTCAAATACGTTTAAATATATACAGAACTTATGCCAACTAAAGTTGCTAATTTTAATTTGCTTGCATTTTATAAGGTACATTTTAAGATATGAAATGGTTTTATGATACTGTACCTATTTGCTAGCTGGGAATAAATTATCAGGTGCATTATATTGGTTGCATACCATTACATTCTAAGTAATTAACTATTTAAAAACGGAGAGTAAACTGTACACATGTTAACAAAGCTTCGTCAATCTTTACTACCGGGTATATATGTATAAGTGTTTCATTTATCATTCTTTACTATATATATGTACAAGTGTTTCATTTATCATTCTTTACTATATCTGTATAAGTGTTTCATTTATCATTCTTTACTTATATATATATATAAGTGTTTCATTTATCATTCTTTACTATATATATATATATAAATGTTTGATTTATCATTAAAAAAGTTGATTTCCTCAAAAATGTATTACCAATAAATGTAATCATTTATAAATGTAATCATTTATCACAAAATAATTCTTTATTTCTCTATTGGAAGTCAAAACTAGCAAAAAACATAATTCATATTGACAAATAACTTTGACAACAATCTTTGGCCTAAGAGCCTAATAAAAAGTAATATACCTTTATCTGCAAGTATTTGGTATAATGTGCAACATATTTAAAATGAAAACTACCTAGCATTAGCAGGCACTCTTTGACTTATAGTAGTACTGGACAAATTTCATGTAGTTTCAAAGATACTCAGTAATGTATACATTTATCTGGACAAAAGATGAAGAGAGTCAGGTGTTTTCTATAGTAAACTTCCTATTCATGAAGTGGTTCTTGCAACTTAAAAATATATGTATAGAAATATATGTAAACTCTACTATCCAGACAGATTCCCCCAATTGCCCATAAACAATGCTGCTGGTTGCTGTCCATGGCTTGGCATGTGAAAGTTCTGGGGTAGGTGGTGTGAATTTACATTTGTTTTTGTTTTGTTGTTATATAGCTGTTTTTAAATTAAATAAATGTATTTAATTTTTAATGTCATGATTATTTTGCTAATATTTTTATGTACGGCGCGGTGAGCCCAGCACTGGGTACCGCGCTATATAAGCGCACTAATAATAATAAATAATAATAATAATACTCTATATAAGTATGTAACGATGAGTAGAAGTAAAGAAATATAGACATATGAAAGTAAAGAAGTATAAATGCATAGAAGTAAAGTGTATAGAAGTACAGTACCCTTATTCTCAGAATTTTTTTCTGAAGATGACTTTAAAATTAAAAGCCACAAAAAGAAATGTAACTTCTATTTTGGAAAGAGCCATATATTTTTGGAAAGAGCCGTATATTTTTGGAAGGAGCCATATATTTTTGGAAGGAGATATATATTTTTTTGGAAAGAGTGGATTAATATAAATAAGTTGGGGGGGGGGGTGGGCAGACATATTTAATTAGGAATCTAAGTTACATTTTAAAGATTAACATCTTTGTTCTTTTTTTCTTTAAATAGTTGAATAGCCTGCATGTCCTGGGTACTTAAACAAGGGGACAAACACCCTCATGTGGGGAAAATGTGTGGCCACCCTTGCTTTCTAGTGTTTACTGCCAAAAAGTGGCTAAGAAATAATTAAATTATCAGATTTACACCTTCACAATGTACTGATTTAGGTATATGAAAATATATGAAAATGTAAATGAGGTGGGTCTAAGAAGAGTGCCTGCATTCATCAAAATATAAACAGGAATGTAAAGACTTCATTTATAAAAATAAGGAAATAAGTGACCAGTGTTACATAGTGACTTTCATCAAATCCAACTTGTAAATATAGTTACGATACGATGAACATTATTGCTAGATGATCACATACAAGCATTACTGGCCTCTCTGTTACAGGTCATCGTGAACACCATATACAGGTAACATAGACAACATACCCATCAGTCATAAATTTAAATGTTTTCTTTTTTAATTTTTAGAATTAAATCTAACATTAATTTAAAAGGACCAGTTCTCAGCCTTTATTTAGGTCCTGCTTAACCCCTGATTTTAGGAACACAAATTCAGCTTCTAGCTGGGCGGTTCTCACAAACTCACAAATCAACTCTATAAAGCAGTTTTAATAATTACAAACAAATCCTAACAAAATGAAAGAAATATCATGTTGCATAATTGAGTGATATTTTTTTTTTTTTTAAATCACAGTTTTAGTATTCTGTAAGCAATTTGGGAACTAATTATTAAACTAATTATTTCCGAGCCTAAAATTTTAATCCAGCCATTTCTATTATAATGGAATGCTAAATACAGTTCAACCATTTGGCAGTCCCTGTTTATGTGTTAACAGAGTTTAAATGAAATGGGAAAGAGCTGTGTGCATTGACTAAATTTTCATTTGATATCTTGGCATGTTCAGGAAAGTATTGTTTTTTCACATCCATTTCATTGGTTTGTAAAGGCAGCAATTGGTCTTTTGGCTTATCCTGCAACTTATTTTCAGTTATTTCATAAGAATGGACAGATGACTGTCTCGTTTTTCTTGTTATTTTACTTCTGGGTTTGCTGGCCTTGGAAGAATATCTATCTTCATCCTCAGATTCTGTTGTCTTATCTTGTGTTGTATCATCATCTCTGGTAGTATTGCCGGAATTGTTGACACTGCTCTTGCCTATTCTTGGTGTACTGATTGATGTGGCACCATCTGTGTTGTCGTGACAACTGTTCTGATCAGCTGTGTTTTCACTGAAGCCGGGAGACTCTCCTCCCTCTGTATCTTCATCCATATGAACCTGCGAGTGTTTCCTAAGCATGTCTTGACTCATGAACGCCTTGTTACATTCATGACATGGGAATTTCCTTGAGCGGAGTTTTTTCCTTCTGAAAGTTATTTTAATGCTTGGAGCATTTCTCTCTTCAGAGTCTGAATCATCCTTAGGCTTTGGCCTTCTTCCTCCATGAATGGTTTTCATGGGAGAATAACGATCTTTGACCTTTGGTGGCCGACCTCTTTTCTTTGAAGTTTCCCCTTGCACAGAGTCTTCATTTTGATTCTTTGACTCAGATATATTTTTACCTTTCAGTTTTCTCCCAACTTTTTTGTCTTTTTGTTCAAGTTCGGAGTCTTCAATAAGATCTTTAGAATGGTCGTACAACGGCAGATCCTGACCTTCATGAACTTTGGCATGTTTGGCCAGCATGGTTTCACTTCCATAAGTTTTATAACAAAACAAACAAGGGAATGGTTTCTTCTTGGCGTGGATTTTTCTATGTCTGTCAAGGTCCCATTGTATTCTAAATCTTTTTCTACAAGTAACACACTTGAAAGGCTTTTTCAAAGGGTCATCTTCACTTTTCATGTGGGTCTCTTTGGCATGCTTTTTCAACAATACATCATTCTTGAAAGACTTGTAGCAGTCAGAGCAAGGGAATGGCTTTTTGGTTAAATGAGTGGACTTGTGTCTTTTGTAATCATGCTCGAAGTGATACGCCTTTGGACAGACTTCACATTTGTAGGGTCTTTCTTCACTGTGCTTCACCATGTGCTTTTTGGCATTGGCCAGCAGACCAAAAGTAAGATGACAAACTTCGCATTCATAACGCTTCTCTTTAGTGTGACTTCTTATGTGTCGTTCATAATCCGTCACATTGCGGAACTGCCTCGGACACATGTTACACATATACTTAGGAGGTTTACCGTGTGTGCGTTTATGTTCAGAGAACTCTGTTCTTTTCTGGAAGGTCAACGAACACTCAGAACAGTGGTACAGTTTGTCTTCAGTATGTCTGAGTCTGATGTGATCCTGCAGGTGAGACTTTCTATTGAACGTCTTGGCACATCGATCACACACAAATGGACGCTCTTTGGTGTGTTTGGTCATTATGTGATCACTTAGATGTGCGTACTGCTTAAATTTGGCCATACACATATTGCACTCATAAGGCCTGCCCTTGGTGTGGGTCCTGACATGGCTGACCAGAGAACCCTTGTCCTTGCAGACCTTCTCACAAAAGTTACATTTGAATAAATGCTTTTTCCTTATTCCACCAGCGCTTGATGGTTCCACGATGACAGTGCACACAGAACTCAGATCCACATCATCCATGACTATTTTAGATGGACCTTTCCTTAAACTGAAATTTGTCTCCTTACCTATGAGTATAGTGTTTGCGGCAGAGTTTGTGGGATGACTGGTGCGGTCAAAGGGCTCTCCACTGTTATCATCCTCATCCTCATCATCATCTTCAGCAGTGTCTTCATCAACCAAATTTGTATCAAGCTTGGTAATTATTTTATTATTTCCTTTAATGACAGAAGGGTGTTTATTTTGTATAACATTTCCTTGTTGAACTGTCTGATTATGAGTTTCAAGATGCGTTATTAGCTCATCGTTATGATAGAACGACAAATCACACAGACCACAAGCGTATGGAGTTTTGACAGTGTGTGATTGCTGCACGTGCTCAACCAGCTTCTTACCTTCGACAAATGCCATATTACATACACCACAACGATAAGCCATGAAGTCGGTGTGCGTGGTGAGATGGCCAAGCAATGCCTCATTGCTTGGAAACTGAATCTCACAATAGCCACATTTATAAGCAGACCCACTGTTGTACAGTTTGTCAAGTGTGCTGCCATTGTGCGATATTTGATAAGCATCTCTGACCATACTGTTACTGTTAACTGCATTGTTACTTGGTATGTTGCAGCTGCCCACCTCATTTTGATCCAAAGAAATTACTTGCAGTTCATCCTGAGAAGGTACAGACCTGGGATGACCTTTCTGAACTTTCAACCTTTTCTTATGTTCAGGAACATGAACTTCATTAGGTAAAGGGTTTAGGTTCTGAATGAAAGAGTTCATTGATTCATGAGGATACTGACCTACATCTGACATGACCGAGCTGGGTGGCTGGTGATGGTATTGCATTTTTGACATCATCTGCGCGTTCATGGATGGGTCAGTGCTGAAGTTGTTTTGAGAGATGAGCACATCTTCGAAGGAATGTTTTGAAGCATCGGGCGCTGTGTTGATGTAAAAACCGTTTGTGGTGACGATGTTACATGAACTGAGTGATGGGAAACTGGCATATGTCATTGTTGCCGGTTTCCCGAAACCGAGGTTCATTTGCAGCTGATCGGTTTCTGGTGGTAGTGAATTCATTTTTGTTGTGCTTGAATGATGAGGGGGTGGTGGGTGGTTGTATAGGATTGGTGCATGCCCCAGCATTCCATCCAGGTTAAAACTGTAAGGTGATGTCATGGGTGAGTTCTGAAAAGTGTTTAGTGCATCGGGTAACTGCCGATTTGGGAACACTGGAACTGATGTCAGGGTTAAAGATGAGGTATCATTTTTAAACTGACCAGTTTTGATGTTGCCATACTCGTCCATGGTGATCCCGCACACTGAAGACAGACTACTTTGAGTATTCAACAAGACAAGAATTTAACATTTCTTAAAAATTATCATTGTTACAAATCTCTCCACCATCTGCTTCATTTGCTCCTAAAAATAAATTGTACATAAGTTGTACAAAAGGTTTTCTTATTTAAGTCCTCTTATTAAAGTCCAGTTATTAAATTCCTCATCAGTAGAATAATTTTGTAACCATGTAGATGGAAAACTATAGGTTTATATTATTTTGTTCAAATTTTTGTAAAGAAGGTCTAAACAGGTAGGAACTCGAAACTGCAAATATGACAAAGAAAAAATAAATTAAATACAACATAAAATATGATTAAATATAAATATTCAAATACTGTCACATTTTTTGTTCAAATAATGGTAATCTAACAGTAGCGGTAAAGAATTCAGAAATTTAAGTCTTATAATAGTCAGGAATAATCAATATCATGTGAAAAGCTTAATTTAATGCAGACAGTGGATCATATTAATCATAAGTCAATTATTTCACCCCACTTTTGCACAAACAATTATTTGGACTCACCTCCCCCACCCCATCCATTTGTGCATACAAAAGAGAAATCCCCCCCACCCCAAAAAAATGACTCAAGCACCAGTTTCTATTTCAGTGTCAGCAGAAATTATGTAAAATGTATGCCTCAGTTTTAATCAAATACAATCTTTAGTTCAAAAATTATGTGGAAACATACAAAGGCGAATAGTGGATTTTAAAGTTGTCACTCCTAGTAGTTCATTCATTTATTTACTTTTGTGAAAACACAATACAACAGTAAGTTGATATTTAAGAAACTTTGCAGTTGTATTTATCTGAATACTTCAACTTCAAAAATAATTTAAAATCATAGAGTCTCACAAATTTTTATGTCACAGCTTTATCAGAGATACAAATAGCTATATTAGGGTATTTATGATGGAATGATGATTTCGAGATAGCTATGACATTATTGCAGAATTTGTGCTTAAATCTTAAATAAATGAACATAGTCTATAGACATAGGCATTGTAGATTTGCAGTGTACATTTGCATTGTAGGTTTACATGTTCTGAGGAAGCCCCCTTCCCCCCCCCCCCCCCCCCCCCCCCCCCCCCTCCCCCCCCCCCCCCCCATAAAATCACCACCAGCCCTGGCCCTACCATTAGGCTAAAATGCAGTTAGCGACAGAGCTAGGTATGTCTTCCAAGGTATATAGGTAACGGAGGTTTCCCAGGTCAGCTACCTGCCATAATTCCGTTTCTCAAAAGATTTCAAAATTTAGCTCTGTAACTGTAAGTATTTAATAAGGTTTTTTCAAATTTAAAAAAAATGTTTGTATTGAAAGAGGGGGGAGAGGTCCTGGGGAGGGGTCACATGAATAATATACAGGTATTTAATTTTCAACCAATTTAAAAAAAAAAAAAACTCTTAACCATGACCATGCGGGCATCTTTTTTTCAATGTTCATCTTGGGGTATCAGCAAGGCTGATTTTCTCTTTTTATTTATATTGAACTTTGTAAGTTGAATTTTAATAAAAGTTAAATGGACAATTTCATATTAACTGTTAATCATCAGATTATGTTTTTTATGCTAATAATGCTCAGTGAAGAATGGGAAAGTTCATTCTCATCATTCAGGTCCAACTGTTGGTCTTGTCATAAGTCTATTGTTAGGATTCCCCCATGCCAAAGTGATGTCACTGTGCTTAACTTAAGGTGAGACAACTCTTGATAAAATCCATACCGCTAACTGCACATTTACCCTGCCAATAATGATTCACAAACCCTCCTCGCTCATAGCCATATTATGATTAATATTTTATGGACACCCACCAACTTTGTAGCCAACTACTAACAAAAACTGAAAGTTAAACAAAACAAGAAAAAACAAGCCAAGGAAGTTGCTTAAAAGGAAGTTAGTTACTTTTTACTTACTTTAGACTTAGTCACACTTTATTTACTTCATCTTTTTTAAAACTTTAACTTTATTTGATCTTAAATCGTACACTAACTTAATAAACCTACATTCTACATAACTTGACTTAGACTTGCGACTTACGAGAACTGCCTTATTAGCCTTATTTACTTTAAAAAACTACTTTTTTCACAAATCACAATACAACTGGCTGTAATTTTACGTATTGATGAGAACAATTATGTCGTAATTTCTACTATAAAAAATTCATTTTTTTCTAGACTATACCTACTTTAAAGGTACTTTATTTTTAATATATAAATATTAAAATAGTCAATGAATAACGCAGGGGAAATTAAAGTAAATAAAAGTTATTGGTGATTACGTCCACTTAGTTTACATGACAGGAAGTTGATAGAAAATTAGTTTAATTTGGATTGGAAGTGAACGTGATAATATTTTTTATATTCTTTTTTTTTTTTTATGAACTGTAATAATATGTTGCGAAGTAAATGATATAGCCTACGGAAAAAGGGCCCGGGAGGTGGGGTGGGGGGCTTGAATGAGCCTTCCCACTTATTTACCCCTAGGTAGTGTTTTGTTCAAGGGGGAGGTGAGGGTGGAAAATCTAAAAAAAAAATTCTGCTTCCAAATGGATTTTTTTTTTTACTTACACCTTCTATATTCTATGATATTGTTATGAAGGTAAAAAAAGAGGTTTTTAAAAAAATAATTACAATGATTTCCTTTGTAAACCATTAAAAGCAAACATTATTTATCATATCATAATACTTTGAGAAACATAACTTTTTGATGTAATAACTATATATAAATAAACATTCATAAAAAAAAGTAGTTCCTTTTTTTATAACTTGTTATAATTTTTGCATAAATTAGGATTTGTGAAAATTCTTATTAACCTATTTTCTTCTCTAGGATAGTTATTTTAATTTTGGGTTATTCAAATGTTAATTATTGGTCACTGAAATTGCTGTAAAAATTTGGAGGAGGTTTGGATAATATTTTTCTTTTTAAGTGTTAAGAATATTGGTGACCAAAAATATTCAAGAGAAAGCAATATCAAGAGAAAACAATACCAAGAGAAAACAATATCAAGAGAAAATAACGGCAAGAGAAAACAATATCAAGACAAAACAATATCAAGTAGAGAAAACAATATCAAGAGAAAACAATATTAAAAGAATGACAAGAGAGGGAAAATGTGTTTTACTCAAATGTTATTTGCCAAAGCTCCTAAATAAATAAAATGGTTTGAAAAGATCTCAAATGACGTTATATGGGAAAGACCAGGAAGGGATCATGTGGAGCAGGAAGTACAGAGAAGTATGAGAAGAGAACAGGAAAGGATCACTTGGAGCAGGACGTACAGAGAAGTATGGGGTAAACCAGGAAGGGGTGATGCGAAGCAGGAAGTACACGAGAAGTATGGGAAAGGCCGAGAAGCAGTCCCGTCTTAAGGCATGGGCCCGCTGGGCACTGTCCCATGGCCTCGAGCTTCTAGGAGACTCACTCTTTTTGAGGCACCATGCTTTACATATTGTTAAGGAATATTGAAAGATTGTGGTAATTCAATTGATTTTAAAGTCAGCGTGCTGCACGTTTGGCGATTCCCAATTTTGGCGATTTTTTTACCCACGATAATATCGGCACGTTCCATAATTAATATCATAAATGCGAATCACAAGTTGGATAGATACTTCTTAAAGGGGAATAACTCTCTTCAACAAGTTTTGTTTCTCCCAGATATGAAAAAACGAAGTGGCTATTCGCACCCGGGTACTCGAAGTGAGAGGTTGTGATTAAAAAAAACTATTTAAAATATTATTGTTGGGTTTGTAAGACTAAATGAGGTATCAAAAAGATAATTGAATGGACTATATGTTTATAAAATTACTTCTTCAGTTTAAATAAAATAAACTATTACAAATGACACCCGAATGGGATTTAGTCTAAAGGGACCCGGGTACGCATAGCCGCTATTCATGTATTCAAAACAAATTCATGTATGCGCAAAAATGCATACCAGCATTTTGAAATTATCAAAAATTTTCGCGGGGGGAGGGGCGCTTACTGAGACCTCTCACGAAACCTTACCCCCCAGCTTCGTTCGGCTCCCTCAATCTCTTCTCCCTCTCCATTAGAGGGGCAGTACCCACGAACTTTAATATAAAAATGCGATTTATGTAAATAAATAAATTGAAGCGATC